CGAGGTTTGAAATCGAGGTTGAGGTCGCCGAGGGAGGTCGCCGAGCCTCCCAAAGAACAAGGTTTAGGGTTTAGGGTTTAGGGTTTAGGGTTTAGGGTTTGAAGTCCTACTTCGACAGCGACGGCGGCGGCGACGGCGACGACTACTATACTCCACTACCACATACCACTACTATAACCTCTACCACGACCACTACCCGTGCCACTACCAAAACCCTAAACCCTAAACCCTAAACCCTAAACCCTAAACCCTAAACCCTAAACCCTAAACCCTAAACCCTAAACCCTAAACCCTAAACCCTAAACCCTAAACCCTAAACCCTAAACCCTCCACCAACCGACCACGAGCTGCTTCTCCCCTTCAGGAGACCACAGCCAGCTCCGGCAGCGGCCTGCTTAGCGGCTCCCTGGGCGGCGCCTTAAGCCTGGTTTAGGGTCCAGAAGGCTCAGGCGGTTTAGGGTTTAGGCTTCATAGGGTTTAGGGTTTAGGGTTTAGGGTTTAGGGTTTAGGGTTTAGGGTTTACGGTCCAAGTTTAGGTTTAGGCGGTTTAGGCAGTTTAAGGTTTGTTCCTACGCGGAGTGGTTGACGGCAATCTTAACAAAATCCTGAGCAGCATGCATCCTAAAAACCTGAATCTAAAATCTTTTCAATCTGTAAACCTACAACGCCGCTGCAAAATGCCTCAAACCCGAAACCCTGAACCCTACACCCTACACCTAAACCCTATACCTTAAACCCTAAACGCGACAGGATCCTCCACAGGGCTGCTTGGCGGATGCCTGGGCGGCTCTTCAATCGGTGGCCTCTCCGCGCGCCAGGAGGGGCCCTTGCGGGGGGGGAGTTCCTTAAGGGTTTAGGGTTCAGGGTTTAGGGTTTAGGGCTTCGGGTTTAGGGCTTCGGGTTTAGGGTTTAGGGTTTTGGGTTCAGGGTTTAGGGTTTAGGGTTTAGGGTTCAGACCAAAAGTCCTAAGTCTTTTCAAGGCTTGGGCCACTTCTCACACCCGAAATACTCTCATGAAGGCACCCTACTTGGGTCCTGGGTGTATAAACCTAAACCCTAAACCCCAGACCCGAAACCCTAACCCTAAACCCTAAACCCTAAACCCTAAACCCTAAACCCTAAACCCTATACAAAATCAGCTGGGGGGGGGGGGGGTTTCGCGTTCGAGGCATCGGAGCCCAGTCAGGGTTGGGACTGACATAGCTGGGTTTAAGGTTTGATGCTGTTGTACTCCGAGATTCCAGGTATGGGCCCTTTATTTATTCTATAATCACGCTTATGTACACTACATATTGGGCGGTTGTCAAAATCATGCTCCCGTTTTGGGGTACAGTACTCTAAATATTAGGTTCCGCTGTATTGTCGGGATCCAAAAAGGCATAATTTTGCCAACCACCCATATAACAAGGGCGCATACTTCAGATCCCTAAAAAACAAAGGGCAGGGACCATACGAAGGGCCCACAGTTCCAACCTCAGATGTACGAGGTAAGTTCGGGACCTTCCCTAAACCCTAACTCTAAACCCTAAACCCTAAACCCTAAACCCTAAACCCTAAACCCTAAACCCTAAACCTGCATGGAAGGATGCAAGCTCGTTTTCTGGCTGCGGAGGCGGGACGCTCAGTCGGTGGGGGCTCGTCCAGCGAATGCCGCTATGAACTGAGCGCAACATATTCATAGTCATAGGATAATTTTCATATGCTATTATATGGCTGTATAAACATATCACTAGTAAGTATACAAGAATAGAACAATATGCGAATATACTAACATACTCATGACCTAATTTGGAAATGTAATACGAATCATACTCATATACAAATGATAGTCGAAATCTATAGCATAGTCTCCACGTGCTCCTGGGATCCTATGTGTCATAGCTCATGGCCATCGAGAACCGGGTTGGGCACGGTGATGGCAGCACCTGGGCATGGAGCCACACCGCTCTTTCGAACCCTCAACCCTAAAAACCTGCCTAAAACGCTACAAAAGCATCCCCCCCAAAATCTCCTTAAAGCTGCCTAAAACGCTAAAGCATCCCCCCCCAAAATCTCCTACGTAGTCCCTAAGTCCCAAGCCTGTAGGCCCTAAACCCTCCTACACCCTAAGCCCTAGACCCCGGAGCCCTCCCAAGCCCAGAAGCCTAGAGCCTAGACCCTTTGAAGCCCTAAACCTCCCCTTAGAACCTTAAAAAAAACAATGTTTCTTTAATATCCTCTTGGGATTTATATGAACAAAAATAGAAGAGATAGTTCCCAGAGGGGGAGGTAGGGCCTGAATCATCCTCAGCGGCGCAGCTCAAGGATGCCCCCTTCACTTCAGAGTCCACTTCTTGACGGACCTTCCGATATTTGGGGTTTAGGGTTTAGGGTTTAGGGTTTAGGGTTTAGGGTTTAGGGTTTAGGGTTTAGGGTTTAGATGGGGTTTGGGGTTTGTCCCCTGATGAGGATACTTTAGTTGAATTCTGGGGAGGGAGGGGGTGTAATGACAACCCCATTCGGGACCCTAAGATTTTCAGAAGCCCTAAACCCTAAACCCTAAAACCTAAACCCTAAACCCTAAACCCTAAACCCTAAACCCTAAACCCTAAACCCTAAACCCTAAACTGCAGCTTTGGTGTCCGGCCCGTGCTAGGTATGGGCCGGCAGATGGGCTCCAGCCAAGTGCTGCCGGCAGCCTTCTTGCAAGTGTCAGAGTGTTTAGGGTTTAGGGTTTAGGGTTTAGGGTTTAGGGTTTAGGGTTTAGGGTCCTAAACACAGAAACCCTAGGCGTCTCTTTGCCTAGGGCTCTAAGGACTCTTATTCTAGGGATTCTTGGGCCCAAAGGCCTTCTTACATAAGGTTTCTGGGGCTATTTTGAGCCTATTTGTTTGAACTGTTTGCCCAATGCAGCCATTTCAAGTCAAGACGTTCTAAGTGGCACCGTGCAAAGAAGACCCCGGAAGATGCTCGGATTCGCCACGGTGGCTCTCGTCTTCACAGGCTTAGTGGCTGAGTGAGTGCACTTTACCCTTTTTGGGATACTACAATCCCCTATAGAACTGAAAGTGTACCCTTTTTTGGGGCTTACGAACTCCCTAAACCCTAAACCCTAAACCCTAAACCCTAAACCCGAAACTCAGCAACTAAGCAGGTGCCCGCGCCGAGCCTCGCGCCGTGCCAGCGGATCAGCTGGACAAGCCTCACAAGTGGGTGCCGGCGGAGCAGTGCACCTTCGTGAATCCCCCGAGGGCCCCGAAACCGCACAGATTAGGGTTTCGGGTTTAGGATGTAGGATTTAGGCTTTCGGGAGAGTTTGGAGTTCTGGTGGTTTAGGGATTGTACGTCCGAAATGCAGAGTTCGTAGAAGTCAGAGGGGCCTCCCAGATTTCGCTTGGGCAGGCGTGCGTCGCGAGTCGCCGGGTTCCCGGGTAGGGAGATTGTTTTTTTTGTTTGTTTCTCCTCTTCTTGGGTTTAGAAGAGGGGTCGATTTTCTTGAGTCATTAACCCTAAACCCTAAACCCTAAACCCTAAACCCGTGGGGGCCCATCCTTAGGTTCCGTACTACTGGGACGAGAAGTGTGCCAACAACGTCGAGTCTTTGGGCTGTTGGGCTGTGGCCCGGCACGGTTTAGGGTTTAGGGTTTAGGGCTTAAGGTTTAGGGCTTGGGGCTTGGGGTTTAGGGTTTAGGGATTGAGGGTTTAGGGTTTAGGGGTTGAGGGTTTAGGGATTTAGGGGTTTAGGGTTTTAGGGTTTTAGAGGTTTAGGGTTTAGGGCTTTAAGGGTTTAGGGTTTTGGGGTTTAGGGTTTAGGGGTCAGGGCAGTCAGGGCTTACCTGCACCCCCCAACTACCCTTTAATCAAGGGGGGGCTTATTATATACCCTAGTCTTTTTACTGGGCTTTTTAGGGCTGAGAGCTTACATGGTTTACATGGTTTGTAGGGTTGAGGGCTTACTGGGTTCAGGGTTGCGGTATCTCAGAATCATCTCGGTAAACCCTAAACCCTAAACCCTAAACCCTAAACCCTAAACCCTAAACCCTAAACCCTAAACCCTAGACCCTAAACCCTAAACCCTAAACCCTAAACCCTAAACCCTAAACCCTAAACCCTAAACCCTTCACCCAGCTCTACATCGCGGTTACGCAAGTAAGGGTCTTTGAACCGCATGGGGCTCCTGGCTTGGGCCGGTCTCTCACACTGCACCTTCAGCCCTGAAAGGCCGCACCTAGGCCCTACATGCTTGGTTGAAGGTTTAGGGTTTAGGGTTTAGGGTTTAGGGTTTAGGGTTTAGGGTTTAGGGTTTAGGGTTTAGGGTTTAGGGTTCTGTCCTAAATTCCCAGCTGGTGTGTTGCAATGTCTTAAGTCCGCATCTATCCCTGGCCGAGGATGGAGTTCACGCTCAGTGCCGTTTTTGTGGAGAGGCACCTTGCCATACAAGGGAGCCTTTAGCGCGCAAACGCTTTTTTTGGGTTTTCTTGGCTTTCGGAAGCCCTAAACCCTAAACCCTAAACCGCAAACCCAAACCCTAAACCCTAAACCCTAAACCCTACTCAGCATCTGCAGGCTCCATACACAGGGCTGCATTGCCCCCCAGACTCCATCGTTCCGAGCGTCAGGGCCTGCGAGTTCGACAACCCCCCGATTGTTCCTTGGTTTAGGGTTTAGGGTTGAGGGTTAGCCCTGCGGGTTTAGGGTCTAGGGTGTAGGGTGTTGGGGGTTATTTGTATTTGTATTCTCAGTAGTATTCTCATGCCTGAAGAGAATACTAGTAAGTAGTTATTCCGACCCCTATATTGCCCTTTTGCCCCTTTTTGTTGGTACCAGGTTCCCTTGTAAGGGGGTTTGGGGTTTAGGTTTTGGGGTTTAGGGTTTAGGGTTTGGGTTGTCGCCAACCGCCCAGACAGGGTGCCTTTAGGGTTTAGGGTTTAGGGTTTAGGGTTTAGGGTTTAGGGTTTAGGGTTTAGGGTAACTGGGCTACCAAGGTTCCTTTCTACTGGGAGCCGGCGTGCGAGGACGGCATGTTGGGATGCTTCGCGGATGGGCACCACCTGGGTTGCAGGTACTGCGGCCACGGGATCTACGAAAATGTGACCTGTCCGACCTCCGTCTGCAACTTCGTCAACGAGCCCGTGACCCCCTACTACTGGGACACCTTGTGTCTGGGCAGAACTTTCTTTTCTGCTTTTGAAAAAAGCAAAGAAGCACATGAGCTCATTCCAAGAGTTCAGCTGCCAAGTGTGCATAGATGATTAACATGTTCTACATATATATATATATAGAGGTGTACATACATATTCATATACATATGCATATACATATACATATACATATACATAGGCATATACATAGACATAGACATAGACATAGACATAGACATAGACATAGACATAGACATAGACATAGACATAGACATAGACATAGACATAGACATAGACATAGACATAGACATAGACATAGACATAGACATAGACATAGACATACACACCTACATACATACATACATGCATGTATGCATACATACAAACATACATATGTATATATGTACATGCATGCCAAGAGATCCCCAATGATCCACCCTTCAAAATCGAAAAAAGAGAGAGAGAGAGAGAGAGAGAGAGAGAGAGAGGGAGAGGGAAAGGGAGAGGGAGAGGGAGAGAGGGAGAGAGAGGGAGCTCTTGAGGTGCCAGATGGGTATGCTCGGCTGCAACGCGGATGGCATCCACGTCCAGTGCCGCTTCTGCGACTTCCAGCCCTTCAACTCCATCCAGTGTCCGGAGACCGCGAGGCCGCCACCCCCCCCCCCCCACAAAGGTTTAGGGTTTAGGGTTAGGGTTAGGGTTTAGGGTTTGGGGTTTAGGGTTTAGGGTACAAAGCCCCAAGGAGAGCCCTCAGAAAGCCCCTTCAACACATTCCACTTGAAAGCCCTTACACCACCTCTCAAGACCCTAAAAGCCCCAAAAGAGCACGTCTCAAGGATGCCCCCCCCCCCCCCCCCCCCCCCCCCCCCCCCCCCTAGTCGAGTTCTGCAGACATCAAAAGGCCGACCTACGAAGACGGCGAGTGCTGGTTCCCCAGTGGTACAGCCCAGACCCACCGATGGAATCCAAAGTGCAAGTGGGGCATTCTCGGTGCCTTGATTGCAGGGTTTAGGGTTTAGGGTTTGGGGTTTGCGGCGCAGGGTTTAGGATTTAGGGTTTAGGGTCCTAGCTACTCATGTGTTTGGCTTTGTTGTTTGCAGGTACGTAGGTAGGCAGGTTGGTAGGTAGGTGTAGGTGTGTGGGTGTGTGTGTGTGTGTGTGTTTGTTTTCTTGCTCCTTTTCCGCACCTTCTCCTCTGTCGGTTCTTCCCGTGCTCCTCTGTCGCTTGCTGCTATGGGTTTAGGGTTTGGGGTTTAGGGTTTAGGGTTTAGGGTTAAGGGTTGAGGGTTGAGGGTTTGGGGTTTAGGGTTTAGGGTTGAGGGTTGTTTCTTCAGTTCATCCTGTCCCTGTTTCAGGTCGGCTGAAAACAGTTCGAAGCATCATTGTTTCCTCGAGCTATGAACACATTTTGGGATGTTCCGCTTTATACGAACAGGTCCTTCATGGGGATTATAGTACCCCGAAGTAGAATCCCTATTTACGAACTGTGAGTATAAGGGGGAACATCCCAAATCACATACTGGGAGATCCCCGGAAAAGCAGGTACCATACATTGGAGAACCCTGAGTCCTGCACCGTAAACACCTAAACCCAGACCCGCAACCCCTAAACCCTAACACCCCACAAGCGCCCCTAACACCCCCCGTAACACCCCTGACACTCCTAACACCCCGAACACCCCCATACCCCCTAAACGCGAAAGCCCCAAAAGCCTAAACCCTAAACCCTAATCCCTAAACCCCCAAAACCCTCATGTGTGTTCCTTGGAGCGAGATCTCTGAGGTTGCTGGGCTGATGGGGTCCACCGGCAGTGCCAGTATTGTGGTTCTGGATCCGATGGAACCTTCATCGCCATTGAGGGTTTCGGGTTTAGGGTTTGGGGTTTAGGGTCTAGGGTCTAGGGTTTAGGGTTCAGGGTAGTTATTATTGAGGTTTTCGGGTTTAGGGTGTAAGCTGTGTCCCCCAAATCCAGTTTTACTACATGGCGGGTTTGATAGGACGACTTCAGACGACAGGTTAACCGCACAGGGTTTAGGGTTTAAGGGGTTCGGGTTTTTGGGGTCGATAGGGTTTAGTAAGAATGTGGATGGCCAAAGCTTTGCAGCTAGGCAGTTGGGTTTAGGGTTTAGGGTTTAGGGTTTCGGGTTTAGGGTTTAGGGTTTGCCAGAACTGCAAAGGCCTTGGTGTTTGCGACGTGCGCGACAGCTGAGGAATCTATGAGAGCATCAGTTGCGGGAAGGATTGGGCCGATGACGAGGAGGGCTCTGCGTCTTTGCTGCATCTTTGCCTCACCGCGTCATTCCTAGGAACATGTAAGAAAAAGCACGCAAGAACACCACGCAAAACCCTAAACCCTAAACCCTAAACCCTAAACCCTAAACCCTAAACCCTAAACCCTAAACCCTAAACCCTAAACCCTCCGAAGTGGGGTTGTAAGCACCCTTAAAAAAATGTCATAAGCATAGCTACCCTACCGTTCAAACGCAGCCCCAGGTGCCAACTGTGCCAATGCCCTCTGCTTTCTGTGATGTCATGCAAGACCTCCTCTTCTTGGGTTTAGGGTTTAGGGTTTAGGGTTTAGGGTTTAGGGTTTAGGGTTTAGGGTTTAGGGTTTAGGGTCTAGGGTCTAGGGTCTAGGGTTTAGGGTCTGTATGATGACAGCCCTTGCCGCCCATCTTTCACAAACCCCAAGACCCGAGAAATTCCACTCGGCCAAGGAGAGACCCTGCCAGCCCCTTGACATCCTCCCACAACCCTAAACCCTAAACCCCCAAGCCCTAAACCCCAAACCCTAAACCACAAACCCTCAATCCTAAACCCCAAACCCCAAACCCTAACCCCAAACCCTAACCCTTAACCCTCAACCCTCAACCCTAAACCCTAAACCCTAGACCCCAAACCCTCAACCCTAGAGACCCTCAACCCTAAACCCCCAAACTCCCAAGCCCTGGATGAGCCCAGGTAGTGTTCCCCTGAGTCGCCGATAGCTGACTCTGTATAGCTTCCATCCTAGGGAGGGCCCGGGAGCTTTGCACGTGGGCCTCGCCCTTCTTAAAAAGAGAAGCGGGGCAAATTGCTACCCGGGTCCTTTTCAGGATCTTTTGCCGGGCGTTCTACAGAGTCTTCCCCGATGGCTCTCCTACAGTAATTTGATTCAAATGCTGCACAAGTCTCGCGCTCAAAGAGATTCAGCAAAAGCGGAGCATTCTATGATGCCAAAGCATCATGCAGTGCATCCTCAAAGTATATAGCCTTTTGGGGGCCCCTTCCCCGCCACGCACAACGCGTGGGCAACCGACCACATGCGTTGAGAAGGGGGCTTGCACCTGCTTTTGTTTCTCAGCTCGGGGAGCCGATTTGGGCGCATGAGCAAAAGAAAGCTAAGTGGTTAAGGTGCAAAGAGACCGCATGAGCTTTCGTCTTGTTTCTTTGGGGGTGTCTAGTGTATATATATATATGTGTATATACACATACATACATATACATGTTCTCTCCATATGCTATGACCTTAAGCCCTTCGAATGTGGGCTTGTCAGTAGTGTCGCATTGTATCTCATACAGCCTCCCGAATGCCGAAGAGAAGCGGGAAGCTCCCCTCCTCCAATGGGTGTAGAGCTGGGTCGCGAGAACCCCGAAGCCCTTCAAACAGCGTGCCAGGCTGGGATGATGGGCGGCATGGGCCCTCTTGCCACTGTTTTGAGCTGGAGAGTTCCCGTTATCATTGCGATCGGAATCGCTCAGAGGATCTTCCAGGGCCTGCTCTACATGTGAGGGGGATAAGTGGCCATCCGATTAGAGGCAGGCAGGGCAGCAAGCGTGTGCAGTCACTTGGGTTGCTTGGCTTTTGCACGGGAGTGCCGGTGTGGACCAGGGTGTTGTGCAGCATCATGTCACGAGCAGACCATAGCCGAACGTTCTCTGCCAGGTACATCCATGTCGTCTCGGATGGGCGAGCAGACCTCCGTCTTTGCGAAGATGCAGGGCATGAACGCAGGGATGCACAACATGAGCAACAACATGGGCAACAACATGGGCGGCAACATGGGCAACATGGGCAGCATGGGGATGGCTCGCAAGGGCAAGGGCGGCATGGGCGGGATGAGCAACATGAACAGCATGAGCAACATGGGAGGTGGCGTGATGAACAGCGGGATGGGTGGCATGGGTGGCATGGGCGGCATGTGCGGCCAAGGAATGCAGGGCCAGGGAATGCAGGGCATGGGTGGCATGGGCAACATGGCCCAGGGAGAGAAGGGAAAGATGGGTGGCTCGGGTGGAATGTGCGGAATGAACATGGGAGCCATGGGCAAGGGTATGGGGAAGCTCATGGGCAAAGGCGACGCGAATGGCTGCGGCAATCAAGGCGGCGTGCTTCGTTCTTTCTACCGATCTGAGCCGAAGCTACCCCGACATGCCTGGTAAGTGCGATCCCGGGCCATGGCAGCCCTCTGTCCCATCTCAGCCTTTTTTAAGAGGTAGACACCACCCTAAACCCCAAACCCTAAACCCTAAACCCTAAACCCTCACCCCCTGGGGAGGTCGGCCCATGGGTCCCATGGGCCAGCGCCAGCCGGTCATGATGCTGCGAGTCGGGCCCTCGAAGTTCTGCAAATTTTACCCGCCCTTGTCCCGCCCAAGAGGACCTCATGCAAATCTCCTAAACTACTACTTGCTTCAGAACCCCCCCCCCCCCCCCCCCCAATTAAAACAGAAAGATGATAATCCCTATAGTACCCTTATAAGGAAGATTCATTTTTTTTTGGGGGGGGGGGGAGGGGGGTCTTAAGCAATTGGTAGAAAAGGGTCCACTGAGTGAGGGTTGGGAAGGAGAATCGAACCGTAAACCCTAAACCCCAAACCCTAAAGCCCGAACCCTAAACCCTTGATAGAGGCCGAGGCGAATGATGTTTGTAACACATCCTGCTCCGAGGGCACCACCCCCGCACAGCGGATGCAGATGCAGCAGGCCCAGCAGCAGGAGCGTTTGATGCAGGCACGCGCTGGGAAGAGCTGTGCTTGACGTGTCCCTGGGTTTTTTGAGCCGGAGGGACACTTTACATAATTATCATATATTCACGGTACATTTCTTGCACATATTCAGGAAGAACCGGGCTAACGAATCGTTTCGTTGGCCAGCCTTCAGTGCACCAGCAGGGGAAGGCAGCGACTAAACCCTAAACCTTAAACCCTAAACCCCAGACCCCAAACCCCAAGCCCGAACAATTGGGCCTACCTGGGGCTATCAGAGTAACCGAACTGGAGCCCTGCACAAGTAGGATCCCCAACTTAGTTTAACTCCAGGGGTCCGTGCAAGTACCCCGAAGCCCCCGCCCCCGCCCCCCCCCTCCCAACAAAAAAAAAAAAAAAACATAAAAAAACAACACCGAAACCCTGAACCCTCATTAACGCTAAACCCCTAAACCCCTTCGGATCTGAACTGGGCCCATTCTCCAAATAAAAATCCCTAAACCCTAAACCTTAAACCCTAAACCCTAAACCCTAAACCCCCAAGTGGTCCGGCGCCAGGGTGGCAGCTGGGGTGGGGCTGCCACTCAGAATTTCGCCGCCTCCCCCGGGTTCAACCAGGGTGCAGCTTGCCGCGGTCGGCCGCCGAACGCAGGGGCTGCCGCTCGGCTTGAGGGTTTATGGACTCTTCGGGTTTAGGTCTCTTAGGGTTTAGGGCCCTTAGGGTTTAGAGTTTAGGGTTTAGGGTTTAGGGCTATTAGGGTTTAGGGTTTGGGGCTACTAGGGTTTAGGGTTTGGGGCTATTGGGGTTTAGGGTTTTGGGGCAAGTTCAGGGTGGTTGAGGATTCAGTGTTTTGGCTGTATAGGGCTTGCAGTGTTGTTGAACATACTTTCTAGTTGATTATTCATAGGTTGCAGTCGAGCGACTATGCGTGAACTTGTAGGGTTCAAGGTCAGGGTTCAGGCTGAGGGTTTAGGATTCTACTGAGGCATGTCGAGTCGTGAACCCTACCCTAAGCTCCTCCATCTCGGATCCGGAAAGGAAGCCTGAACCCTAAACCCTACATAGAGCCCCCGAGCCCTGAATCCGAAACCATAGCTCCTAAACTCTAAGGCCCATACAAACCCTGGCCCTGATTAATTATCCGAAAACCAATATTATAGCCCTATATAAACCTGACCCGAAATAAACCTTTAACCCCAGAACCTAAAAGTCATGAACCCTAAACAACCCAAAGCCCTATATACAAACCCTGGCCCCAAATGAACCCTAAACCCTTAAACCCCTAAACCCTCAAACCCTCAAACCCTCAAACCCTAAACCCTAAACCCTAAACCTTCAACCCTAGAACCTCAAAGTCCTGAACCCGAAACCCTGAACCCTCAAATCCGAAACCCTAAACCCTAAACCCTAAACCTTCAACCCTAGAACCTCAAAGTCCTGAACCCTGAACCCTAAACCTTCAACCCTCGAACCTCGAAGTCATGAACCTTCGGATGCTGAGAGCCGACACCCAGGCGACCATACGGCCATCGGCGGCGCCTGGGATGGGAGCTGGGCCAGGTACCTCTCCGGACCTGCGTAGGGTTTGGGGTTTAGGGTTTAGGGTTTAGGGTTTAGGATTTAGGGTTTGGGGTTTAGTGATTAGGGTTTAGGGTTTAGGGTTTATTAGTGTTTAGGGTTTAGGGTTTAGGGTTCGCTACAAGGGCTCGAGGAGGTTAAGGGCTGAGGGTTTGAGGGCTTAGAGGGCTTACTCCGGGGGTTGCCCTCAAACCCCAGATCTCTCCCAGCCCTTCAATCCTAACCACTTGCTTCAAATATGGGTGGTTGTCAAGATGATGGTTTTCTTTTTTTTGGCTCCCGATTATACAATACGGCACCTAATATTTAGGGTACCCCAAAACCAATTGGGGATCATTAGATTTTGACAACCCCTGGGGTTTAGCTTGTGATGAAAGTTCCTTGGACACCCCGTAGTAGCTCGACACCAGCCCTACCCTAAACCCTAAACCCTAACCCTAAACCCCAAACCCCAAACCCCTAACCCCTATAAACCCTAAGCCCGCGAATCCCTAAACCCCTCGCCCAAAGATGCAGGTGGTGGACCCAAGTTCCCGCCGGCGCTGCAGAACTGGCTGCAGCGCCTTTTCGCCCAGCAAGGCGGTTTTGGGGTTTAGGGTTTGGGGTTTAGGGTTTAGGGCTTGGGCTTTAGGGTTTAGGGTTTGGGGTTTGGGGTTTGGGGTTTAGGGTCTAAGGTCGAGGTTTCAGGGTCCGGTGATCAGAGTTTCGGCTTCCTTTTTTTGGTCGGAGTCTGCATGAAGTAAGGATTGGTGAGGTGATGGTTTTCTATGACAATCTATGACATGTGTACGGAATGAAGGACAGCCATCCTACCGGTGAGAAAGAGTGGTAAGCATCGAGGGACCCAGGCACTCTTTTAAGGGCAAGTGCTCGCCTGCATCCCTCTATACGGGGGCCTCGTGGTTTAGGGTTTAGGGTTTAGGGCTTTAGGGTTTTAGGGTTTAGGGTTTAGGGCTAATGGAGATGGTTCATGAAACCTTCGAAGCTCGGCTGTGTTTTCTTGGGGTCCCGGGCCCCAAGATCCCTTACACTAAGCCCTATACACCCCTAGACCCCTTAAACCCAAAATCCTTGACTTCCATGAACGCCTTCTTGTCCTAAACGCTAAACCCTAAACCCTTGAAAACCCTAAACCCTAAACCCTAAACACTGAGCTAAACCCTAAACCCTGAACCCTAACCAGGCAACTCTGACACCAGCCTGCAGCGGGACACCCACGTCTCCGGCCCAGCGCGACCAGGGCGGGGGCTCCTCTTTGCTGGGCGCTTTTGTGGGGGGTGCTTTTGTAGAAGGAAGGCCCAGCATGCGTGGCCCACACACGCAGTCACACCACAAGCTACCATGAGCAGCCATGCATGCGTGTAGGGTTTAGGGTTCAGGGTTCAGGGTTCAGGGTTTAGGGTTTAGGGTTTAGAGTTTAGGATGTGGGGTGTAGAGTGTAGGGTGTAGGGTTTAGCATGCAGCACTCAGCAAGCGAAAGGGGTTTCTGGTCCCTTAGACCTTTCACCCGTGACCCTTTGTTACATGGTTGTGGACTCCAAGTCGATAAGAAAAAAACAGCAACCCCCAGAAGCCCTAGTAGTAGAGGAGGTAACCTGTAACCTTTTGGGGTAGTATAATCCCCTCATATTCCCAGAGGTTAGCCTTTAATTCCCTCAGGTTACTGGACAACTAAGACACCCTCAACCCTACACCCTACACCCACACTTGACAGTTGGTCATTTTTGGTTCTGGGTTCCATTCTGAAGTAACGACAGCCCTAATTTAAACCCTAAACCCTAAGCCCTAAGCCCTAAGCCCTAAGCCCTAAGCCCTAAGCCCTAAGCCCTAAGCCCTAAGCCCTAAGCCCTAAGCCCCTAAACCCTAAACCCCTAACCCTAAACCCTAAACCCCCTTATCATGGTATGGCTACTGGGCTGCCCAAAGCACTCCAAGGCCTACCTGCGGTACTGGGTGCAGCACTGGAACAAGACGGCACCACCCGGGGGGGCTCTCACTTCCAGACCCTGCCTTCTTAGGAGCCCAATAGGTGAACTTTTTAGATTTTTTTGGGTATACTAAGCCGCCCCTACTAAATGAAAAGTTTGAGCTTTTTTGGGCCAAGGTTTTGGGCAACTAAGCCTTCCTCTGTGACAGCTTTACTGTACCTTTAGATCCTTAGCCGTTTTGGGTTTCTTGGGTTTCTTAATTCGGCAGCTAAAACTTGGATGTATAGCTACCCTGCTATGTGCAGCCAAGCTTCATTCCGGGGATCGATTTGTGGCATAGTTGAGGGTTTAGGGTTTAAGGTTTCGAGGTTGCCCCCCCCACCCCCCCACCCCCCCCCCCCCCCCCCCCCCCCATACCCCACCTCCCCCAACCCCCCCCCCCCACTCCCCCCCCCCTCCCACCCCCCCCCCCCACCCCCTCCCCCCACCCCCTCCCCCCCCCCCCCCTCCCCCCCCCAACCCCTCCCCCCCCCCTCCCCCCAAAACCCCCCACAACAACACAAACATGAACAAGAGACAAAGACCAGTCATTCCTAGATTGCATGAAGCCTATGGATAAACCCCGTTAAGGGTTTGGGGTTTGGGTTTGAGAAGCTCGCTTCAGCACAGGGTTCTGCTTGTAAAGAGCCTATGCAGTAAAAGCAAGCCGCAAATCGCTAACAACACGAAGTCCGTACAAAGCCGACAGAGACAAACCCTAAACCCTAAACCCTAAACCCGAGACCCGAGCCTACATGCCCACAGGGAGAGCTGTGGCAGCGTGATTGGGAAGCCCCTTGCTCAGGGTTCTTCGGCGATGCCGGCAGCGTCAGTACCGGGGTTAGCTCGGGTCTGGGAAGGTGTGGTCCACAATAATCAGCCTATACTATTAGTTGCTCAAGAACCCCCCAAAAAACAAGAAAAATGCCTTCTTCCTTATAAGGGTAGTATAGGGAGAATCATGTTTTATTCTTTTGGGGTTCTTAAGCCAATAGTAGTATAGTGTCATGATATGAATTTATGAGTGCATGAGTGCATGTTGCGAGCCTACTAAACCCCAACCCCTAAACCCAATATCCCAAATCCTAAGCCACTGAGGCTGCAACCCTGCCGTCTGTGGAAGAGATCAGGCTTCTTTGCGGCACTATGGGTCTAAGATGTCCAGTAGTACACTGACGTGGCTGGACAGCGCGCTTTCTAAGAGGTTATGTAACCTACTCTTCAACGCTTAACCTTGGGGTACTATGCGGTCTAAATGCAGCTTTCCATCAACAGTTAGATAACGCCAGGGTCCAGAAAAGTGTTCCCTTTTGGGAGGGTCACCTCCCTTACATGTACCCTTCGAAAGCCACAAGGAGTATATGATAGGAACCGTAGTGATCACGCAACGGGCCCGATTCAGAATCGAAGCCTATAACATTCAACCCTAAACCCCAATTATGAATCCCTTCCCCCTGGTATTCCCCCCCCCGCCCCCCCTCCCCCCCCAGGGTCTAGGCTGGAAGGGAGGGAAGGGAGCTTCAGGATGTTGCTTGGCTTGAGGGTTTTTGGAGCTGGCGAGTCGAACCTTAACAAATTGTGAAAATAGTCATGAAACTTTTCGACCCTCACAAGTCACCACGGGGGCTGTAAGGGCCCCTTGCAAGCCCCTGATTCAGGCTTCTTCAGGGAGGGGCGTCTTTTTGGGTTTAAGTCGAGGCCTCACGTTGGGGGAAGTGGCCTGAGACCCCCCTACCGGCCCCTCCCCTCCTCCCCCCCCCGCCCTGGTTGGGTGCCTTGTGAGATTCAGTTTTCTTGGTTCGCCGCCTGAAGACTATAAGGAGAATCAACTAGACTCATAGGCCATTTTGCTACGCTCAGAAAGAAGGTTACCTACTTAGGACCCTTCTTATCTGCCCTACTCATAAGTATTCATAATCTCTGGGTAGGTTCCTCAGGCTCTCAAGGTCTTGGGTTCTGAGTACCCTAAACCCTAAACCCTGAACCCTAAACCCTAAACCCTAAACCCCTAAACCCTGAACCCTCACCCCTCAAAATCTGGGTTTCGGAGTGCGTGACCCAGGCGGAAGCTGGCACCTGGTAGCCTAAGCGGCCAAGGCACGTAGGAACGTTTTCTGGAGGGGGGGGGGGGGGGGGGATTCCTTCAACAAAGATGATAGCCTTGTGAAGTTGTGGAGTTGATTACGGGCCACCCCCCCTATGTTGGGAAGTGCCCATGTGGGTTTCGCCTCAGGATCTAGGCTAGGGGATCATGAATTTCGGGTTGTAGGGCTTTAAAATCTAGGGTTTAGGGTTTCTGGGGTTCAGCATTCGGGTTTTGGGGTTTCAGGGTGTTAGAAGGGCTTACTGATGGAATCGACTTGATGGTCAAAGACCCCCGAAGCTCTTCAAACCTGAGTACGCCACATGGGGGTAATCAAAAATTCGGGACCCCTGATATAGATCCCCAAATAGTGGGCTGCCCTTATAATGAGGGCATTAGGGTTTTGTGGGTTAAAAGGTTCAGGGTTTAGGACTTAGGGTTTAGGGTTTAGGATTTAAGGCCCCCAGCAAGTTACCCCGAATCTCGTACACCCCCAATCTGCCTTCACCTTCTTTTGCAGGCGTAGACAGCCAGGAGCCACGGAAATTCATGCCTTGCTACTGATTCCTGACAATCCTCATAATTCGTAGGCGAAACAGTACGTAGGTTCCCTAACACCCTTGATAACCCCAGGCTCCATCTAAGTACCCTAAACCCCAAACCCTAGATCTTCAGCCCGACAAAGAACGTGTTTTGGCGAAGGTTTCAGAGTAATATCCCGGTCCCAAGCTCAGGTGCTGCTGGCGGGAGCTCTTCACAGGCCGCAAGTGCTGCCCTTTCTGAAGTGATATACGTAGAGGGACCCTGACCCTAAACCCTAAACCCTAAACCCTAAACCCTAAACCCTAAACCCTAAACCCTAAACCTGTGGGTTTAGGGAACCTACTCACAAGTTCGTACTGTTGAGGGATGTTCCGCTACGGGCCCTACTTTGACATCCCTGCACTCTAAGGCTTGCAATGTGTAAACCCTAAACCCTAAACCCTAAACCCTAAACCCTAAACCCTAAACCCTAAACCCTAAACCCTAAACCCTAAACCCTAAACCCTAAACCCTAAACCCTAAACCCTAAACCCTAAACCCTAAACCCAAACCAATTAGAATCCACAAGCACGCTCAGGCCCTGATTGCCCTAAGCCTTCTACATTTCGGAGGGCTGATGAGGATAGGTACTTACAAGTAGGGTTGTAGCCTTATTGAGGGTACATATCACCTTTGCTTGCAACGCAAAGCCCTCAACCCCTACTTATGAGTAGTAGGGTTTATGGGGTTTGTAACCCTAAACCCTAAACCCTAAACCCTACACCCTAAACCCTAAACCCTAAACCCTAAACCCTAAACCCTAAACCCTAAACCCTAAACCCAAGTTTTTACAGATAGGATGGCTAGCCGGGCTCGGAAGTCTGAGTTAGCAAGAGGGAAAGGCCGCCGAGCTGGTGCACCATGGGTTGCTGTAGAGTAGCAGTTTAGGGTTTAGGGTTTAGGGTTTAGGTTTAGGGTTTGGGGTTTAGGGTTTGGGGTTTGGGGTTTGGGGTTTAGGGTTAGGGGTTTAGGGTTTGAGGTGTTCTAGGGGCTAGGATGTGTACTTCGTTTTTGGGCACTTTTGCGTCCGTTTTGGCATCGCTACTATTTTGCCAAGCCGGAATGCCGTGGCCGCGTTCTTTCGTCTGCTCTCACGGTGTGGTGGAGCCTGTTTAGGGTTTAAGGTTATAGGGTTTAGGGTTATGGGGTTTAGGGTTTAGGGTTTAGGGTTTAGGGTTTAGGGTTTAGGGTTTAGGGTTTAGGGTTTAGGGTTTAGGGTTATGGGGTTTAGGGTTTAGGGTTTAGGGTTTTGGGTCTAGGGTTTAGATGAACTACTCGGCGGCCACCGAGTATCACCTATTGACAAGGTTACCCGGAAGAATGCTAAGTTTCGGAGCCATGGGAACCTAACAAAACGAAAGGCTTCGGGTTTAGGGTTTAGGGTTTAGGGTTTAGGGTTTAGGGTTTAGGGTTTAGGGTTTAGGGTTTATTGTTTAGGGTTTAGGGTTTAGGGTTTAGGGTTTAGGGTTTAGGGTTCCTGAAGTACTGTAGTGGATGAAACCTTCAAGCCTGAAACTCCCAACGCAAAGATCCCCAAGCTACTGGAATCGTTAGCCATGCAGTAGGCACATAAGCCCTGAAAGAGAGTCCGAAAACCTAAGACCCTAAACCCTGAACCCTGACCCTAAACCCTAAACCCTAAACCCTAAACCCTAAACCCTAAACCCTAAACCCTAAACCCTAAACCCCAAACGAAGCCCGCCTTCGAAGGGTGCCTGGGCGAAGCCAGAGTCCGGTGCTGGTGAGGCCTTCAATCTTCAGAAGGGGTCCTGGGCATCAAACACAGGTGGTTTAGGGTTTAGGGTTTAGGGTTTAGGGTTTAGGGTTTAGGGTTTAGGGTTTAGGGTTTAGGGTTTAGGGTTTAGGGGCTTCAGGGGCATTCGGGGATTTAGGTGCTTTGGGGGCTCTAGGGTAAAGGCCTTTGCTAGCTCAACCTAGGGCTTAAGTTTTTTTGTAGGTTCCCTTAACCCGTTACCCGAAACCCTCAACCCTAAACCGTGCAAGGGCCCATCTAAGTATCCCTCGGCGCAATGCGTTGGCACCCTGCTCCCAAAGGCCCAAACCTTCGAAGCCCTGAGGCCTTTCGAAGTGCTCAGGGTTGAGGGTTTAGGGCTGAAGGTTCAGGGGTCAGGGGTCAGGGTTTTGGGTTTAGGGTTTATAGGGTTTACCGGTAACCTAAACTTTGGGTTTTAGAGGGTTGGGGAAGTAGCTGATGGGAGGTGGGGAGAAACACCCAGATGCATGCGCGGTGAATCTGCTGACGCTGCATTTTCTCAACAGGTCCTGCGAAGAATAAAAATCACCGGCAGCATGGCTATAGCTTGGATATTAGCACATGCATTGACATGTTCCCCCTTGTACTAGCAGCCCTAAATAGGGATTATAGTACTCCTTATTCTAATCCCTATTAAGGACTGTTAGTATAAGGGGGAACATCCCAACACACGCACCTAGAGATGGATCAAAAGCTTCGAGGCTCAGGGGGCAGCTTTCTGAGTCCATAGCGAAGGGCTCGAAGTAGCTTGCCACTATCACAGCAAACACGGACACCCTCACCACCCACCTTGAAAGCCGCAAGTCTTTGGAATCCTCTCGCCTCCTTGACAGGGCCCTGCAGGTCGGCTAGCTACATCATGTCTTACTTTTCTTAGCCGAACGGTCACCCATTACAAGTACTTCCCCTTCTCAAGCAGGGCCCCGTCAAGTTGAGGACTGCGGAGTTCTCCGCGCCCTTTTTAAAGGTGAGACGGCAGGTCCCTTAGGTGGCCACCCCTGCAATGCCGGTGCCCACGACCAAGCCAGCCACCTTTAGTTTCGTGGCAGCCCAGTGGTACCCTTTCATATAAAAATCGGCAGAATTACCACTAGTAACTAGTAATGGTATTCCCATGATGGTCCCTTTAGAACTGTACCATAATCAGCCCCCCAAAGCCCTATGACAATTATTCAGGCCCCTAGAGTGCCCACTTGTTTTTTTGGTTCTGGGTCTCCTTAGAACATAACCAAGAAAAAAGGGTACCCTGATTAGAAGATGGTTATACGCTATACTGGGCTGGCAAGGGTTTAAGGGGGTTTAGGGGTTTAGGTAGGGGTTTAGGCTTAGGGTTTGGGTTTTTCGTTGGTTCTTATTTCCCCTTTCAAGTAGCCAGCGCCCTTATTAGAGAGTTCTTAAGGAGGGGGGTCATGGGGAGTATAGTACCTAGAGAACCTTAGGGAAGCTTAGGGAGCCTTAGAGAGTAGTGGGGAGGATTAGGGACCTTTGGTGACATACCCCCCTTGAACCACCCCTCTCTTAAGAACCCGATAACCTTATCAGACTATGGTTACTGGCCAACTAAGGTTTCGCCCAGCGTTCAAGGCTTACTCCTGAGGACCTTCCTGCGGCGGGTTTTGATGTGGGGGGTCAGGGTTTAGGGTTTTGGGGTTTAGGGTTTAAAGTTTAGGGTTTAGGGCCTAGGGGTTTAGTTTAGGGTTTATAGAGTCTAAAGTTGAGTAGGGGCGTCAGGATTGAGGGCTTGCACGTCTGCATTTTGCTTGAAGTGTGCAACACAACGCAGTGTTAAGGAACCGCGACGACCTAAGAATTCCGTTACCGGAACGGAACCCTTAATGGCACAATGCCCAGAGGCTCCAATGTCCCTCAATTAGGGTGAATTCTTAAACGCATAACTGGGATCCTAGTAGTATGATTTCAGGAAGGCTCCTTAGTTCAGGGATATGGGACTCTCTGTGTATTTCATCCCTGGAAGTGCATAGGGGGAATTGACGCATCAGCTTTCCCTACAGATCCTATATTGGGCCTTAAAGGGGTTCCTATATTGCAGCTATAGGGCCCAAGTATACACTATTGGGGTTTAGGGTTTAGGGTTTAGGGTCTGGGGTTTAGGGTTTAGGGTTTAGGGTGCATGGATCCTTAGGGTTCATCAAAACGGCATTCGCTAAAGTTCCAAAATTAGGGGGCACAGTATTGTGTGGGGGGTCCCCTATTCTTCTGTAAACCCCCACATCTGGCCCAGTCACCCGACTCGCCAGTCAAACCAGAAACGTGTGTCTGCGAACTTCGCAGACACGAAAAATACCTGGGCCCCGCCCGAACTTCTGGATGTATACCTTACTCCCCTAAACCCTAAACCCTAAACCCTAAACCCTAAAGCCTAAACCCTAAACCCACTTTACTGGTAAAGCCCATCATTAGGGGCTCCTGGCTGCAGGAGTCCAAAGTCGATGTGGACGCTGCGGCCTGCACCAACGCGGATGGCGACGTTGTGGAGGAGGTGCAGCTGATTCAGAGGCCTGCGTTTTTTTTTAGGGTTTAGGGGTTTGGGGTTTAGGGTTTAGGGTTTAGGGTTTAATTAGAGTTTAGGGTTTAGGGTTTAGGGTTTAGGGTTAGACTTGGCGTGGGATGTGCGGTTTAGGGAGTTTGGGGGTTGCTTTGAAGGGGGGCAGGTTACGAGAGCCTTTGGTCGAACCCCAGCCCCCTTATTCACTAGATATAAATCAACTGACAATAAGAACCTTAATCACCATCACAATAGTACTACAACAGGACGACGATGGGATTTTTTACTTACAGGAAAGTATGGTTTGATTTGCAATACTGGGCCGGCTGACTGTGCTGCGGCAGAGGATCCCATGCAGATGTACTGACATGCTGTGTGTATTGCAACGTTTGTTTTTTGTACGAGTCTGTTTTTGCTTGCTTGTTTTCCTGTTGTATGATATCATGTTCAACATATTTTTTGAATGTTACGACCTTCACAAACAAAACAAGATTCAGTTCATGATACTCATCTGATGAGTGTATTCATATTCGAAGTCATAGTGAGCCTCATATTCATGTTCCTACTAAGGTCTTAATCTGAAGTACAAGGAGTACAGCAAGCCCACCTCTATGACCCAAATCGTGAGATAACGTGCTGCAGGTTCGAAGAGATGCTCTCAAGACGGGACGTGGAGCTTTTCCGACGACTGGACAAGGCCATTCACGGCTTCGGCGCCGGGGCCCCAAGCAGTGCGCGCTCAGAAGCAGAAGCGCGAAGGAACCCGCTGGGCCAAAGGACAAAATCTGGGTACTCTAAGTCTTCTAGAGGGACTACATGGGCCTCCCTTTTTCAGGCTTTAAGATGCTTTAAGGGATTAAGGACCTAGTGGGTATAACATGGGCCTTTTAAAAAAGTCGGGGAAGTGACCAGAATGACGGGACTGTTAAGTTGCCTTCCCCCTTGCTCATTTCTCTGTCTGCTCAAGGAAAAGCAGGGACCAGAGCGCGCAGAGAGCTCATAAGTCACCCTTTGGGTACTTGCACCTTTCGAAGTCAGGGCTCGCCACATGGCGGTTCGTACCTGTCTTAAGGGCTTTAAGTAGACCAGTCTGACTCTTGTACCTCGGCCTACCGTCCGCAAGCCTCTACGTCCGCCGCGGCCGCGAAGTAGCTCGTGTACACCATGGAGGTTCTGGCTCAGATGGTGGAGAAGTGCACCAAGATCGCGCTCAGCGGCACCATGGAGCAGCGCGTGAGCGCGGGGGTGGCTGCGCTCACCCTTGCCTCCGGGCTGGCCCACGCCGCCCAGGGCATCATCGTCCCCAAGTCCTGTGCCGACATGTGCCTTACTTCTCCAAGAGCTGAACTTTATAAACTTTTTGGGTTTCCGTATGTAGTAGGTAAACCCTAAACCCGAAACCCAAAACCCTAAGCCCGAAGAAGCAAGGTGCGTCCAACCCTGGTTCATGACCTGTGCTGGACTTTGGATGATCGGGTCGGGGGTGGTTTTTCTGTATGACGAGCAGATCGGCTTTCCCTTCATGGCCGCGTCCCTTGGGGACCAAATTTGAACCCTAAAATTGGGGTAGGGTTTATTGTTTACGGTTCAGGGTTTAGGGTTTAGGGTTTAGGGTTATACTATATAATATTCCTATTAAGGTATATGAACCATAAACCCTTTTTTAGGGTTCATGGCGTCCCCTTATAATTCCTATGAAGGTATATGAACCCTAAACCCTTTTTTAGGGTTCATATGCCGTCCCCTAGGTCCATGGGCGGCGCGAGTGCCACGGCACTGCTGAGCCCTGCCAAACCCGGCGTCGTCGTGGCGCTGGGCAGCTTGGTAGCGCAGGCGTATACCACCAAGCTGCCGCAGAGCTCCTAGGACTTCGGAGTAGGCCCTGATAGGGTTTAGGGTTTAGGGTTTAGGGTTTAGGGTTTAGGGTTTAGGGTTTAGGGTTTAGGGTTTAGGGTTTAGGGTTTAGGATTTCAATTGTTTTTTAGGGTTGGCGTTCCCTCATAATCCCTTTAGAACCAAAACATAGGGGTGCCCTTTCTATTCCTAGGTTACCTTCCTGGGCTGTTCTGCCCTATAACCCCCAGAAAAAACTTTTAGAAGGTTGGTTAGGGGGGATTATAAGGCCTAATAGCCCATGCTGGTACTCCTGGGCCCTTCATAAGGTTGGTGTTCCCGTTTGAGCCCCTTAACACCAAAAAAAGCGTACCCATTTTTATTCCTAGGTTACCCCTGGGTCCCTAAACACTAAACCCTAAACCCTAAACCTAAACCCTATACTCCTGGGTCGAGGCTCCGGCTACATCGCCGTGACCGTTGGCATGTTTCTCTTCGGCGTGCTCGGCCGGGTGCTTCTGACGGGAGCCAGCTCTGAAGAGAAGAAGGACTGAGGAAGCATATAATATAAGGCTTGGTGGGTCTAGGGTTTGGGGTTTAGGGTTTAGGGTTTAGGGTTTAGGGTATCTTGGTAGCCCAGTGGTACCCTTTTCCCTTTTGTTGCTTCAACTCAAGGTGACTAAGTAACCAACCAAAAAGGGGTGCGCTTGTTCGAACATGGTTGCTGGGCTACCAAGAAGTCGAATGGACAGGTCTTCAGCGCTGGCAAAGAAGGAGAAAGAAAGCATCTCTGCCCAAACCCTCAAACATGTTGGACCGTGAAGCCATGCGTAAATCAAAGCCGCAGGGGGCCAATCTAGAGCCTGCAATTGAGAACCCAGAAACCTACTCCCCCTCCCTGCCATCCCTACACACCCCTGAGCCCTTTGAGGCCCTCCCATAACGCCCTTCCCTAAACCCTGAACCCTAAACCCTAAACGCCCGGACGAAATTCCACATCCACAGAAGTAGATCTTTTTTGGACCCGTAGGATGATTCAGATAGAAGCTGCTGGGTAGCTGCATCCTTTGCTGATTCTAAGTTCTTGCTATTTACCATTTGCTTAAGAAGCCCCCCCCCCCCCCCAAGGAAATACGCATGTTCTTTCTTGTTTGAGGTTCTTGTTATCAGGGGTCGTCTAACCTAAGTCGCCAGAATGGGGGACATCTGGGGTAAACAGTATGGCTTCCTCTTGCTCCTAGACCCGACACCTACAACCCTGCATCCCTAAACCCTGAACCCTGAACCCTAAACCCTAAACCCTAACATCCCAAACTTTCAAAAACTTTGAGAGCAAGAACCCCATATGGGCCAAGGCGATACCTGCGGAGACGACCGTCTCCCTGCTGCAGCCGCAGACGTCCTTCAAGGACTACGGCAACGGCGCGAGCGCTGGCGCGAGCGAGTCCCGCGTGGCCTTGCAGGTTTCAGGTAACTGCTGGGCTTTCGCGGTTTAAGGTTTAGGTTGCGGGTTTAGGTCACATAGGGCTGCATGAGGGCTGTAACCTGTAGACCCCTGTGGAAAATGCGCACCCTGATCGTTGTGCGTTCATGTACGCGCCAACATCGTTCCCCCCTGCACCCCACCCCGCCATCCCCCTCTGCCGGGATCATGGTTGAGCAGTTTGCTGCCAGTTTTTTTTGCCGCCCTTGCCTCTTGTAGATGGCGATTGGGTAACTCCTGTTTCCTTGTCGTTTAGGTTCATATGCCAATCTGACAGGGCCATTCTATGTTCGGGGTCCCGACAAATGATGCGCCAATTTGACTAGGTATCTTCCTTAAAGTAGGGGTATTGGGCTACTGGGCCTAAACCCTTAACCCTTAACCGTTAACCCTAAGCCCTAAGCCCTAAGCCCTAACCCTAAACCCTAAGCCCTGCACCCTCCAAATCTTGGCTCACTTTCTCCTACTGACTCCGGAAGAGAAGAGGGCAACCTTCAGTCTAGGCACTCTCTTTTCCAATCTCCACCTCGTTATCTTTTGCTCTCGCTGCCTCGCTAAACCCTAAACCCTAAACCCTAAACCCTAAACCCTAAACCCTAAACCCTAAACCCGAAACCGCCATTCCGGCTCTGACTTCCTCCCTCGCCCAGATGGCATCTCGCAGCAAGGCTTTGGTGGAGTCGCGAGTGCCTTGGTAGAAAGTTACCCAAGCACTCAAGGGGTGAGGGTTTAGGGTTAAGGGTTTAGGGTTTAGGGTTTAGGGTTTAGGGTTTAGGGTTTAGGGTTTAGGGTTTAGGGTTTAGGGTTTAGGGTTTAGGGTTTAGGGGTTCTTGGTAGCCCAGTGGTACCCTTTACCCTTCATTATTTGTTCTGGGCTTCCTTTCTTTAAGAAACCAGCTCCCAAAAAGGGTGTCCTTGTCATAAGATGGTTACTGTGTTTAGGGTTTTGGGTTTAGGGTTTAGGGTTTAGGGTAAATCCCAAACCCCGAAGCTCCCCAGACCTTAAGCCAGCTTTCTTGCCCATCGCGGAGGAGCCCCAATTAATATTCGAATGCTATGTGGTAGTCGTAATATTGTGAATTTTGTTTGACTGATCTATTCGAATATCATTACGAGTATAGTATTCGTTTCTTGTTACTATCATATTATTCTCATACTGTTCTTAAAGGGTTGGATATATGAGTTTTGTGTTCGTTTCTTGTTACTATCATATTATTCTCATACTGTTCTTATATGGTTAGATATCCTTAGTATCTTGTTGAGGCTTCAAGTTTTCGGGTGGAGCTTCGTGGCGGTCTAGGAGAGTGTGCTCACTCTCCTCCGCAGAGTCATTGTATAGGGTTTAGGGTTTAGGGTTGTTTAGGGTTTAGGGTTTAGGAATTGATCAGATAGAGCAGAATAGTAGAGTCATACCAGGCTACGGTAACATAGTATGATAGTCATGTATTGCTTTTACAGTAATCTTATTCGTGTCATAAACATACTAACAGACTAGGACCCAGAGAAGGCCCTTGTGAGGTTCCCTCAGAATTCCCCTTTAAGCCAAAAAAGGGCACCCGTTTTATTCCTAAGTTACTCTTGGGTCTAGTAGCCCTAAACCCTAAGCCCTAAGCCCTAAACCCTAAACCCGAAACTCTAAAGCCTAAACCCTAAACCCTAAACCCTAAACCCCCGGTCCTCCAAGTTTCCCCTGAAGGTGCGGATGCTGGCGGCGCAGACGAAGAGGGAACTTGAGCTGGACATTTTCTCTGCGACTTTGCCTGAAACTCTGTGCTTTCTTGTGGCCGAAGATCAATAGGTCTTGGCAGCACGTGCTTTTTCAGTTCACTCTGTCTCTCTCTCTCTCTCTCTTTCCGTCGCGTCCTCTCTCTCCCTCTCTCTCTGATTCTTTCCCTCTCTCTCTCGCCTTTTATTCGTTCCCCACCTTCGGTGGATTTTAAACTCAACTCTTCTCCTCGCCCGGAACTCTTCGCCCTGTCTACTCCGAGAGACTCCCTGGAGTGCGCCCAACCCAGAGACTCCTGGAGTGCCCAACCTTAGAGTCTTCCTGGAGTGCCCAACACAGAGTCTCCCTCAAGTGCCCAACCCCATAGACTCCCTGGAGTGCCCAACCCCAGAGACCCTGGATTGCTAAGGTGGGGATGTTCGAAGTAAAATAATGTTTTTGTCTCCTTTCTCTCTTTCTCTCTTTCTTTCTTTCTCTCTTTCTGTCTTTCTCTCTTTCTCTCTATCTCTCTATCTCTCTAAGTCTATCCAACGGTTAAAAAATGTAAGAAATCCAAGCGGATTCCGGTTGACTCAAGGACCCCGAGGACAACGTCGAGTTGGAGACCAGTGAGCCACAACCAAGCCCCGGCCGCGGCTTGGCCTGAGCAGCTTAGGGTGAGGGTTTAGGGTTTAGGGTTTAGGGCTTAGGGTTTAGGGTTTAGGGTTTAGGGTTTAGGGTTTAGGGTTTAGGGTTTAGGGTTAGGGCCTTAACGGACAATAGGGCTGGCTGACTGCCCTAAACCCTAAACCCTAAACCCTAAACCCTAAACCCTAAACCCTAAACCCTAAACCCAAAACCCTAAAACCCTAAAACCCTAAACCCTGTACAGGAGTACTAGGCGGAGGGTGTTCCGTGTTCTCTTTAGCAGGGCCGGCTTCGCTTCCACATTGACAAGGCTCCTAAGTCTCAGGCCGGCTTGTTCTAGGGCTTTTTAGGGCTTTAGTGTTTTTTGGATTTAGGGCTTTTAGGGCTTTTGGGGCTTTTAGGGTTTGAGGGTTTTGAGGACTCCAATAAGGTACCCCCCCAAATATCGTATCAACCCCCCCCCCCCCCCAACTGTACAGGGAATCCGGAAACGATGGCCTGCCTCTCTGTTCGCCAGCCTCCCTCAAAAGCCTGGCTCAGGCTCCCAAGAGCCTGTGCTCAGAAATTGGGGTTTAGGGTTTAAGGTTTAGGGTTTAGGGTTTATAGGTTTATAGGGTTTAGGGTTTGGGGTTTGGGGTTTAGGGTTCCCCACCAAACCCTTCCCTAGCATTCTCAGGCTGAAAGCTCAGAACCCGAACCGTTGTGCAGGTGCGTTGGTTCATATCTTACTATGGACCAAGGTTGGAATATGGCCCTTCCGGGTACCACCGTAATATGAGTCAACTACTGTAGGCTGGCCACCTCGAAGCATTCGAACCTCACACTCGTGCACGCCAAGCCATCCCAAATCTCTGTTTCTCGAAGAAGAGAGTCCCTGCGCCGTCCTGCACTCCCCCCCCCCCCCCCCTTCGCCCCCTTCCCCCCCCTCCCCCTTCGTGTTTTCCCTATTCTCCATCAGTTCCCCGCGGTGCAAGGGCACCTTGTTTGTAGAATTTCGCCAAGGTAACAGAAGGCGTTCTACACGGACGCACAGTCGCTTCAGCAGCCACTCAAGCGCAAAGAGACCTTACGAGCCTTGAGAGCCCTAAGCCAGCTGCCTTAAAACGCGAGATCCTACATCCCTCAACCCAAAACCCTACATACTTAGGGTTTAGGGTTTGGGGTTTAGTAAGGGTTTAGGGTTTAGGGTTTAGGGTTTAGGGTTTAGGGTTTAGGGTCTCTCCTTTTGGGCTCCGGGTTGATTCAGGTTTAGGGCTTTAGGGTTTAGGGTTTAGGCTTTAGGGTTTAGGCTTTAGGGTTTAGGGTTTAGGCTTTAGGGTTTAGGGTTTAGGGTTTACGGATTAGGTTTTTTTTTGGATGCTTTGGGGCTATGGGGGGGTTTGGGGTTTCGGGCCCGTTCAGTTGAGCGTCGGGGGGGGTTCAAGGAGTTGAAGGTCTTCTGAGAGCACCTCGTGTTCTCACAAGGGGCTTTCGGGGGGGGGGGGGGGGGGGGGGGGGGGGGGGGTGGCCGGGTAGATACCTTCTGGCTATGGTGAGTAAACATGAACTGAGTTGGTGTCGACTCTCGCACATTTGGGTTTAGGGCTTAGGCCAACCCTAACCCTAAACTGCCCTAAACTTCATGGCTTCAGGTTTTTGAGAACAACTCAGTTGGGGGAATCGTGTGCCCCTCTCGTTGTGCTTCCTTCGGAACGAAGTGCTTCTAAGCCTAATGCGAGAAAGCAGTCCGCTGCAACCCCACATCCTAAACCTTCATGCCTACAAATATAAACGCTCAACCCTATGAACCCCTACAACGGTACAACCCTACAACCCTACGACCCCAACCCCCAAAACCCCCCAAAACCCCTTCAAAACCCCTTCAAAACCCCCCAAAACACCCCAAAACCCCCCAAACCCCCCAAAGCCCCCAAAACCCCCGAAGAACCCCCCAAACCCCTAAACCCAAGCCTCCAAAACCACAAATCCCCTCAAACCCGCAAATCCCCCAAACTCCCGAAACCCTAAATTCCAAACCCCCCCCCCCCCCCCCCCAAAAAAAAAACTAACTAAACCCTAAACCCCAAACCCCAAACCCCAAACCCCAAACCCCAAACCCTAAACCCAAACCCTAAACCCCAAACCCCGAACCCTAAACCCTAAACCCCAAACCCTAAACCCCCCCAAAGCAAGGATGGCAGCACTACCTCCTGAAGCACGTGATTGGCAACTTCTGGTTCGAGGGCTTTCTCATGGCCCCTCGACCTGGATCGGGTTTAGGGTTTAGGGTTTGGGGTTTAGGGTTTAGGGTTTAGGGTTTAGGGTTTAGGGTTAGGGCAATCCCCTAAATCCCCTTCCTCACCCTACTAACAAAGTCAAACAATCTTCGGCCTTGGGCTTCCTGCGCTGCCAGAAACTGAGGGTGCCGAAAGGTCTTGACGACCCTTTGGGGCGTTTTCCCCCCCCTCCTCGCTCCTTTCGCCGTCTTGGGTTTAGGGTTTAGGGTTATGGGGTTTAGGGCTCCCCCACCCCCGGGGAGTACTGTGCAATTTTTCCGACGGTTGCCGGGTAGGGTTCGAAAGCCCTCGGGGTTTGAGAATACTGCCCGAAACCCTAAACCATAAACCCTTTCGACGCTATTTTTCAGAAGAGGACGCCGTGGAGGCTGTTTTGTGGGGACTCAGAAAGACCAAGGCTTTTGCGAGTTTAGGGTCGAGAAGGCCAGAAAGTAAATATTTTCTTTGAGGACTTCCAAACCTTAGAGACCCTCAGGTCTTTTGAGTTACTGTGGACGGACAAAATCTTGCATGACCGCCTAGTTTACACGTGTGCGACGGTCGGTAATCGAGCTCCCCGCGCCCCTCGAATGTCAATGTTGCGGGCGCATATGGATGATGCAGGATTTCGGTCATTCACGCACACGCCCTTTCGAAGCATTGCAAGGACAGCAATGTGAAGATTCAGGGTTTGGAAGGGATGACCTGCGTAATAAACGTGATGCAGGATGTCGTCCATCAACAGTATGTATATATCTATAATATACACATCTAGTCCACATACATATATATATATATATGTTTGTACATAGAGAGAAATACATACATACTACAATATATACACATATACATATATGTAGAAATATATGTATATATGTATACATGTATCTATGTATATGTGTATATGTATATACCCCTAAACTCTAGACCCTATTTGAGGAGCGCCCGTCCCTCTCATATCTTGCGTCCGAGGTGGGCATCCTCACACACTCCTTCATCCTAGGGGTGCAGATTGCAGCTTGGCTTTCACAAATGAACATCTTGATGGTTTAGGGTTTAGGGTTTAGAGTTTAGGGTTTAGGTCGCAGATTGCGCCTTGGCTTGTATAAATGCTGATCTGTAAGGTTTAGGGCTTGAGGCCAGAGACTCTTACTAAACCCTAAACGTTTGCAATCTAGGGTTTAGGGCAGGGTCTCGATTGCTCAGAGTTTACGGGTTACGGTCTTGCTGGTATGCCGCCTCTGGCTGGAGCCAGGAGGTCTCTTTTCCTTACGAGCTCTTAGTGGCGAAGACTCGGAACCATTGAAGCAACGATGGAGGGCACCATTGTTTCCCCGATTCCCTACGAGGAGCCCTCCAATCTGAAACCCTAACCCTAGGGCTCCAAGTATACAAATAATGCCTACATTGGGGTCTAAACTCTGTAAGTAATACCTACTTTGGGCTATTTGGAGCGTTAGGGTCAATCACAAACACTGAACAACAAATTCCAGGTTACCAAGTTCGCAACTGTCCAAAATTCAGGGTGTGTCATACGGGCCTACTTAGATGGGCCTTCACGCTTCAGGACTTACCTCGCAGGTTAGGGGGCCTCTTGATAAAGGGTTCCTGTCAGGTTTCTTTCTACGGCTAACCTGGGGGTCGAGTAAGAACCCCCTAAACCCTAAACCCTAAACCCTAATCCCTAATCCCTAATCCCTAAACCCTAAACCCTAAGCCCTAAACCCTAAACCCTAAACCCTAAACCCTAACTAAACCCTAAACCCTAAACAAACTGCAGGGTACCTGCAAGCAGAGGATCTGGCTACCGTGGACAGCTCCGACCAGGACATCGGGTTTATCCTCGTGCCTTGGCTTGACCCAATTCGCGGGGTGGGTTTACGGCTTAGGGTTTAGGGTTTAGGGTTCAGGGTTCAGGGCTTAGGGTTCAGGGCTTGGGGTTTAGGGTTTAGGGCTTAGGGCTTAGGGTTCAGGGCTTAGGGTTTAGAACTTGAGGTTCAGGGTTTAGGGTTTAGGGTTTAGGGTTTAGGGTTTAGCCTGTGGGGTTTAGGGCGCTTGTGGTTGCTTTTGGGGTGGGTGTAGGGTTGGTTTGAAGCTCAAGGTTTCTTCGGCTTGATGGATATTAGGGTTTAGGGTTTATAGGGTTTAGGGTTTTAGGGTTCAGCAAGCGCAGCCTGCAAAGCCAAAACGTCACTGAGCTCACGAGGACCTCTGCCTGAAGCCTGTAGTTTATCAGTGTCACGCTGGAGGGTAGCGATGCTCTACGACACTCTCCAGAACCACGCCAAGACTCAAGACACAAGCACAGCTTGACTTACAATACAAAACTAGGACCGGGATTTCCTTTTTTAGGGTTGGGTTCCCTTATGATCCCCTTATAACCAAAACGGGCACCCTTTTTATTCCTAGGTCCCAGGTCTGCTTGCAGGGTGCTTTGTGTGTGTGCCTGAGGTAACACATTGGTTTTTTTTTTCCAAAATTCGGGGTATCTCATTGTTGTCCTTATAATAAAGGTAATCTTACTATTTGGGGGTCTATTTTAGGGTCACCTATTTTCGTAAACCCCCACATGAAAACCTGATCCAACTGGCTGACCGAAACGCAGCGAGGATTGGATCCAGCACGCGTGACTTTGCTCGATAGAGAGATGAGAGCGAGCGAGCGAGCGAGCGAGAGAGAGAGAGAGAGAGAGAGCGAGAGAGGGACATTCGGAAAGGGATGACCTAAACCTCCTAATTAAACCCTAAACCCTACATCCTACACCAAGAAACCCTAAGCCCCAAACTCCTGGTGCCAACGGTAGGGTTTAGGGTTTAGGGTTTAGGGTTTAGGGTTAAACGTCCGCGTAATTACTGCTGTGTGTGAGCCTTCATGTGCTTTGCTTTGATAAGGGTCTATTTTGGGTGCCCATCGGAGGGGGGAGCACTTGTACTACAGGCACTGCCTCTGATGATTCCCGGTATTTCTCAACATGAAGGTGCTCCCCAATTTCAGATTTTTGCTTTGAAGGAACCTCTCCCCACCCTCCCCCGCCAAACAAAAAGATCGGCTCCCAATTTCAGGTAGGCTCCGTTATAGGTTTAAAGAAGGTGCCGAAATAGTCGTGTGCTGGGTCCAGCTGGTTCGTTAGTCCTTTTTCCGCATTAGGGGTCCTGCCAAGATTCCAAGCTTCGGCATTTTGTCTGGGGATTCTTCCCGTGTACCAAAGCAGAACTCCAACGACGGCTTGCTCTGGTCCAGGTTCGCCTTCATCTTTGCCGTCGAGCTTGCACTCAGGTGGCTTCGCCAGCCATGCCGCCCAAAAACTATGAGAAATATGCCTCCCCAAAATAATGAGAAATGGGGAGGGGTCCGGGTACTTTTTCAGGGAATGCTTGGGCCTCCCTTCAAGGGTTCGGTACCTACTGTTTGGGCACATGGACCCTTTATGTAGTTATGGTTTTGTAAGGTTCAAGGTTTAGGACGGGATAACCCTAAACCCTAAACCCTAAACCCTAAACCCTAAACCCTAAACCCTAAGAGTTGCATGGTTCACAGCGCAGCTACTGAGGTGGATGGCTGAGGGCCAGAGTTTCCTGTGGCGGTCCAGCAATGTCGTCTGGAACTGGCTGGACACCTTCCTGGCCGCTTTCCCGCAAGCCCGGAACCCCTAAACCCCTATGTAAACCCCTAAACTCCTCAACCCCTAAACCCGAAACCCCTAAACCCTAACCCGTAAACCTCTATGTAACCCCTAAACCCCTAAACCCCTAAACCCCTAAACCCTAAACCCCTAAACCCTAAACCCCTAAACCCCCTATGTAAACCCCTAAGCCCCTCAACCACTAAACCCCTAAGCCCTGAACCCCTAATCCCCTAATCCCCTACACCCTACTTTGGTTTTTGGGGTCAGGGTTGGACCCGAAGCCCATCGCAGGCATGTATATCTGCGGCTTCACCTCGAAGTGATAGCCTGTCTCCTTGTTTGGTTTAAATTTGGGGTTTAAATTTGGGGTTTTGGGTTTAGGGTTTCGGGTTTCGGGTTTAGGTTGTCTTGCAGGCAGGGAGTGGGCGGTGCCTGAAGGCCAGTTGAGTGAGGTGAAGAGCCAAAATGGAAAACTCCGCTTTATCTCGGTCGTATGTGCGCAACATAGAACTGGCCTGTGAGCGAAGAAGCTCGAGGTGAGCGAAGTGAACCTACTTATCTCTTGTATTCGCTCCTTGTCGTGTATCTGTGTGACCTGACATCAAAATAAATCATTACCGCGGGAAGAAGAACCACGAACAGAACCTTCAGGAGAACCATCCCTAAACCCCTGTTTCAAATCTTCTTGCGAATTAAACCCCAAAAGCCGCTAGAGCCGTCCAAGCCCAAAAATCGTTCAAACACCCCCAAAACCCGAAACCCTACGTCCCTACCAAACCACAAGCAAGCCGAGGAAGTCACGCCCACCTAGGGGTTGGGGTTCTGCAGTCTGGGCCCTTGGGTTGTACTGGGTAAATAAAGGGGTATATACGGGAACCCCCGTTTATGGGAGGGACCCATGCAATTACCCCAAGAGGTTGTGCAGGGTTTAGGGTTTAGGTTTCGGGTTTAGGGTTTAGGGTTTAGGGTTTAGGGTTTAGGGTTTAGGGCTTAGGGTGAGCCCTAAGTTCTTCCAGGTTCTCACCTCTGTGGTGGAAGTTGTTGGGGAGCTGTCTGTGGCCTGGGCAGGCCCCGGGTTTTAGGAAGCTCGGGGTTTAGGGTTTAGGGTTTAGGGTTTATATAGGGTTTAGGGTTTAGGGTTTGTGGTTTAGGGTTTAGGGTTTAGGCCCCCTTGTTTAGGTGTTAGGGCTTTGGCCCCCTTATTTGTCGCAAGGAGACTTCCCGCAGCTCTAAAGCCGTAGGGTGGAGGGTTTAGGGTGTCAGGGTCTCAGGGTCTCAGGGTCTTCGGTTAAAAGGCCAACCTTGCTGGTTTGCGGTCAACATGTCTTCGACCAGGCTCTTGAAACATTCTTCGAGATTGCACCAGCCCTCATCACCTGGTAATCCCCACTACAGGCCTTATACAATGAACTCTCTAAGGTTCAATCTCAGCACACATTCTGGTTCCAAGAACCCTTGCTTGCAAGCAGGCATCAGATGGCGCGACAACGCTTCACCATTCTTCACTCAACTCCTCAGAAGTTGGACTTTAGGGCTTAGGGCTTAGGGCTGCGGGTCTAGAATCGTAACTCTGTAGGTATGCAACGACTTTGCAAGAAGCGGAAGCAACGCGCGCATGAGTTGCACGGAATAGTTCTCAACTTGAGGCACCTTGCGGGCCGAGAGATTTTGGAGGGGCCTCAGAGTTTTAGGCTTGGTAGCCCAGTGGTACCCTTTTCCCTTTTGTTGGTTCTGGTTCCCTCATAAAGTAACCAACCAAAAAAGGCCTTATTATAATATAGAATATGGTTGCTGGGCTACTAAGTAGGGTTTCTCAGGGTTTGAGGCTTCATCGGGTTTAGGGCCAGCTTCCGCAGATTGCTCATCCCAATGCCCCCAACCCCCAACCCCCAACCCCCGGACACAAAAGCAGCCCCAAAGAAAGAAGAGCAAAGGACACAAGCCCAACAAAGCACCCAACATTTTTTTAAGAAGGTCCCAACCCCTAAACCCCTGAACCCCTAACCCACAAATCCCTAGCCCCCCCAAACCCCTAAACCCCTAAACCCCTAGACCCCTAGACCCCTAAACCCCTGAACCCCTAAACCCCTAAACCCCTGATCCCTAATCCCTAAACCCTAAACCCATAAACCCCTGAGCCCCTAAACCCCTAAATCCCTAAACCCTAAACCCCTAAACCTCTAAACCCCTACTCCCTAATCCCTAAGCCCTAAACCCTAAACCCCTGAACCCCTAAACCTCTAAACCCCTACTCCTATTCCCTAAACCCTAAACCCTAAACCCTAAACCCCTAAACCCCTAAACCCCTAAACCCCTAAACCCCTAAACCCCTAAACCCCTAAACCCCTAAACCCCTAAACCCCTAAACCCCTAAACCCTTAAACCCTTAAACCCTAAACCCTAAACCCTAAACCCCAGCCGACCCTGTGCAGGCGATCGGACGACGGACCTAAGCTTGATCGGCAACATGCGGGTACCGGGCCTACGGTTTGTAGATGGTTTTTTGGTGTTTAGGGTTTAGGGTTTAGGGTTTAGGGTTTTTCAAGGTTTTTATAGGAGGGCTGTTAGGGTTTTGTTTAGGGGTTTTGTCTGGGGTTTTATAGGAGGGCTGTTAAGGGTTGTTTAGGGTTTTTCGGGTTTAGGGTTTAGGGTTTGGGGTTTGGGGTTTAGGATTTTGGGCGTTAGGGTTTTTAGGGCTGATGTTGTTTTAGGGCTCCTGTTGTTTTAGGGCATTTAGGGGTTTAGAGGGTTTACAGCGTTTACAGGGTTGACAGGGTTTACAGGGTTTATAGGGTTTACAGGGTTTGCAGGATTAATAGAGTTTAAAGGGTTTATAGGATCGGGTGTTCAGGGTTTAGGGGCTTTGGGGGCTTTAGGGTTTCAGGGCACTTTGGCTGCACGGTAACGGCGTTTAGCCTGTGGAGGCCGAGGGGCTCTGCGGTGAGAGAGGTAGTGTAAAAACATATCGCCCAAGGGTTTAGGGCTTTAGGCTTTAGGGTTTCGGGTTTAGGACTCCAGGCTTTAGGGTTTCGGGTTTAGGGATTTAGGGTTCAGGGCTTCTAGGGCTTAACCCTAAGTTGGCTGGAGTGGAGGGGAGGGGAGGGCTGGAGAGGGTTCTATCAGCCTCTTGGAGGAGTGAGGGTTTAGGGTTTAGGGTTTAGGGTTTAGGGTTTAGGGTTTAAGGTCTAGGGTTTAGGGTTTAGGGTTTAGGGTTTGAGAAGCTGGAGGTCGGGGGCTGGGACGGTTCGGTCAGGTGCGGTACCACTGCTCCCTACGTCACAGGTCGTGAGATTTCCGGATGTGTCACAGAATGGGCTGCCCCCCTTGACAGAGGTAGGACAGAAGACATGTTCAAAATATTACACATCCCGGTATTTAACAAAAGGCGCCGAGAGGTGGAGGGTTTATGGGTCTCGAGTGGTTCAGGATTCAGGGGTAAGAGTTCAGTGGGTTTGGGGCGATGGCTGATTTAGGGCTGCTTGGTTTTGGGGTGTTTTAGTAGGCGTTTGGAGGGGTTAGGCGTTTGGTCTTCTATTTTAGGGTTCTGGCTTTAGGATGTTTAAGAAGGGCATGTTTGGAGTCTAGGGGTTTTAGGATTTGGGGTGTAGGGTTCTAATTGAGAGCTTTGGAGGTTAGGGGTTCCTCAGCACCCTCAATCCTTAGGATTTAGGGTGTAACCGAGAACCTACAACCCCTCTCTAGACCCCGAACAGCCCGAGAAAACCCTAAACCCTAAATCCTGAAAGCTCTGTGGGATTGTTTGCATTTAGGGAGACTCCGCGGCCTTTGTCTATCTTGAAGGTAGAGGGCTTATTGTGAGGCCGTTTAGGGTTTAGGGTTCAGGGCTTAGGGCTGCTGGTCTACTGTGCACTCAGAGACGCAGGAAAGCACGCAGGCGCCAAAACCCCCGCCTGAACAGACTGAAAGCGAAGCCCTGTAGAGTGTAGAGCCTGAAGCCCTAAAGTCCTCAAGCAAAGAACGTTCAACCAAAAACCTTGGTGGTGGCTCTTTAGTAAGCCCTATAGCCCTTAAGCCCACTACAGAAGGCCTCTGTTTCGGTGCTGTGTTGGAGGTTATGTGGCATGTCTTCGTGACGTGTACTTGACAAATTTTACAAGAGTACTATACTAGTGCATCCTAAACCCTAAACCCTGAACCCTAAACCCCTAAACCCCCAAATATGCACGTGGGCACGTCAATGAAAGCTGCAGGTCATCCGCATCGTGCGCATCTCGCGCCTTCTCAGGGTCCTGCGCATCGCCCCGTGACTGAACTTCTCTCCCTTCCCTTCCACTCTTGCCCCCCTTTGGCCCCTAGTCCCCTAAGCCCTAAACCCTATAAACCCTGTGATTTACCCTAAACCCTATAACATAGACTTTAACCCTAGAATAGAAACCCTATTACGTAGGGCCTTAGATCAGAGCCAAGGCCCTATACTCCTTTAGGGTTTAGGGTTTAGGGTTGAGGGTTGAGGGTTGAGGGTTGAGGGAAAAAACATACCATACTTATTTTGTTACATCTGTCGCTTGCGGCCTGAGCGGTTTGGGGAAGTCGGAAGCCTTCCGGGTTTGGGGATTCTCGCTGGTGGCTCAGGAAGATTCAGGGTACGGCAAAGTGGTACTGATGGATTTGGGGTTTAGGGTCAAGGGTTTAGGGTTTAGGGTTTAGGGTTTAGGGTCAAGGGTTGAGGGTTCGTTCGACTCTCTTTGCATTCTGAGACCTCTACCTTAAGCCCCAATGTTTCTTGCCTTCCTACAGTGTACCACATCACCCGACCCTCTGCGCCCACATGCTCACCCACCGGGTTTAGGGTTTAGGGTTTAGGGTTTAGGGTTTAGGGTTTAGGGTTTAGGGTTTAGGGTTTAGGGTTTAGGGTTTAGGGTTTCAGGTTGTGTTTTTTTGGGGGTCATGTTTCCTCGCACAGAAGGCCTGAGGTTGCTCCGGTTCGAACTTTGCGCAGAGCCTAGGAGGCCAAGCCTGCTGGCACCTGCAGTCTAGGAAATTCTGGTGTTATCTCACATCCTTGAGCACTTAGTCCCTAAACGCTCAAAGCCCTAATCCCTCACCCTAAGCCCACTAAGACCCTCAAACCCTCGAATCCCAAACCCTACAAACCCGAAAACTCTACACACCCTCAAACCCTGCGACCCTCAACCCCGACAAGCCCAAAGGCCCCCCTGTCTCCTCACCAGACTCCCAGACTCCGAAGGTTCGAGTCGTTCGCTTCGTGCGCTCTTTGAGGAATCTTGCTGCTTGGCACGCGGCGTTGAAATGCACAAAAGGGGTGGTATGGTTCCTGAAGACCTAAACCCTAAACCCCTCACCCTAAACCCCTCGCCCTAAAGCCTAAACCCCAACATTCTCACCCGAAATCTTAAAGTCCTCCCTACACCCTAAGCAATCCTGAGGCCACACCCGCAGACTGAAAGACGACAGACCCTAAGCCCAATCCCCACGGCCAGGTTTGTTTTAGGGCTTAGGGTCCCCTAAACCCTCAACCCTAAACCCTAAGCCCTAAACCTAGATTTACGTCTTCCGGGTCTGCTGGAGTTGGTGTGTTGTGTGTTCAAGTTCCACGGAACCCTAGTCCTTATGTGGCCCTCCACCAGCACGAAATGTCATGGGTGTAAGTAGGTCTATACGTAGGGCAGCTATGGCTCCTACCCTGATTTTGTGTATTTCTATTCCTACTTATCCCCTAAACCCTAAACCCTAAACCCTAAACCCTAAACCCTAAACCCTAAACCCTAAACCCTAAACCCTAAACCCTAACCCCCTCCCGCCCCCCCCCCGCCCCCCCCCGCCCCCCGAAAAAAAAAAAAAAAAAAAAACGGCAGCAAGGTCAGCTCCATCGCCATGACATTTCGCTCCCTGGCTTGGCGTCTTGGGCAATGCCAGGGGGTTGAGGTTATAGGGTCTTAGGGTTTAGGGTTTTAGGGTTCAAGGGGCTTGGGGTTTAGGGTTTTGGCGTTTGGGTTTGGGGTTTTAGGGTTTAGGGTTTTTAGGGATTTTACGGTGTTTAGGGTTTTTTGGGTTTTTGGGTTTTTGGGTTAGGGTTCAGGGTTCAGGGTTTAGGGTTAGGGGGTTGTTCTTAGTTGGGAGTAAGGGAATAAGGTACCTCGTATCCCCGAAACCCAGACATACTTAGTTGTTTTTGAAACTAATTTTACGTCCTTTCAGGCTTTGTATTGTAGGGTGCTGGCTGAATTTCTTCCTTCCCTACTCAGAACCACTCCATCGAAACAGTGTGCTTGGAAAGGTGTTTTCCTGAGGTGTTAGGGAAAGCCAGGGCTGTTTAGGGCAGCGCTTTCATGTTAGGATATCGAGCCCAAAGCCTTAAAACCCTAGCCCTAAACCCTAGCCTTAAACCCTAAACCCTAGCCCTAAACCCTAGCCCTAAACCCTAAACCCTTGCAGGCTTCCGGAGAGCTTTGGAGGGCTTCTGGGCGGGCCGGGGGGGGGGGGGGGGGGTTGGAGGGGTATGGGAGAATTGTGGGGGGGGCAGAGGGGTTGGAGTTTCTCCACACCTAAGCCCTAAAAACCCTAAAAACCCTAAAAACCCTAAAAACCCTAAAAACCCTAAAAACCCAAAACGTTCCATGTGCCCAGCTTTCTTGGCTGCAGCTCTGCCATGTGCAGAAGACTCCTTCCTTGCAGGAGTCGAAGTTTAGGGTTTAGGGGATTAGGGTTTAGGGTTTAGGGTTTGGGGTTTATCTTGGCACTCGGATGCCCCTGTCTGTGTTGGGCAGTTGGAGTGTGATCCCCGGACAAGTTCGAAGCCACAGTCGTCTGACTCAAGGAGGGACCCTGGTAAGGGACCTTCGGGGTAAGGTAGGGGCTAGGTAGGTGTATAGGGACTAGTTATGTAAGGCTATATGTAGGGGTTATATAGGAGAATAGGATCAAAGGGTCCCTTCTAGGCATCCCTCCTTCCATGATTCTTTAATTATGGGGGTTTACGATTTTAGGGGTACCTTATTGGGTGAGTATTGTAAGGGGATCCTACTATTTGTGGGTCTACAGTAGGGGGTGCATTCTTATGGTAAGCCCTGATATCCCGCAACAAAGGTCGGTGATGCTTCTGGTGATTATCATCTACATGTTCGGGGTTCTCTTGACGGATGGCGTGTCGGATTTCCTTCGCAACGGAGAAGGCCGGCAGGGATGTTGTTGGTTTTCTCGAGGTTTCTGTGGTGTACTTTGCGATCTTCGGAGCGGTTTAGTGCTTGGGGTTTAGGGTTTAGGGTTTAGGGTTTAGGGTTTAGGGTTTAGGGTTCTGAGGGTGCTGAAGGTCGGCATGGGGCCTCTGGGCCTTCGCGTGGGGCTGTGGGAGGATGTCTGTCAGCTTGCAAGACGTTGTGCTGGAACCCTAGACCCTAGACCCTAAACCCTAAACCCTAAACCCTAAACCCTAAACCCTAAACCTGAAGGCATTGACCTCAAGACGGAGATAGACCTAAAGATCTACTTCGGCTCCGTCCATGACGTCACGGGCTTAGTTGGTCGAGGTGCACGCGTTGCCGAGGTTGTATACTCAATTGCCTGTGGCGCATTCTTGATGTTACCCTTCAGAAACAGCGGTGTTCTCCGGCTCAGGCTATGCACACATTGTTCCGATCAATTGCAAATGGAATCAGCTGGGACGTCGTCATAAGGCCTCTAATTCAAGCAAGCTGGTTCTGGGGACTCTTGGCTTTGACCAGCTGCTGTCTGCGTGCATGTTGAGCACCCTTGATGACAGCCTAGGGCCTAGGTAAAGTCACCTAAATGCCCCTGAAGAGTGCCTGTGGTAGCTGTGCACGAGAAGATGCAGCACATGTCGCTCTCGGAAATAGGCTAATCCCGGTAGAATCCTCGGGCTCGGGGGGGATCTGTCAGCAGCGCAGGTAACTGGAACAGTTGCTGCCGAGGATTTTGACTGATTTCATGTCGGTTGCATTTGCGCTTGCTGCGCATTAGCCTGTGGGCAACTAAGGATATGTCTACTCCTTGTACGTTGACACTCGGCAGCAGATGTTGCCTCAACTGAAAAAAATCATTGGACCCTAAACCCTAAACCCTGAACCCTAAACCCTAAACCTAAACCCTAAACCCTAAACCCTAATAGAAGCTGCCTGGCTCCTAAGGTGTTTACACTCTTTGCCGTCCTCAATGTGTTGGACTTAGCTCGCTGCATGCAGGTGTTTGCGCCGGCAATCCTCTTGGCCTCCTCTTGTGCTTGGCCCTTTGCAGGTATTGCACACCAAAGTTCTAGATTCTGAGGTTATAACGGCGGTTTTTTGCCAAAGCACGCTGGAAGGTGCAGCACGTGACAAGGACCGTGAGCTCAGTTTTTTCCATTAGGCTGCAATGTGCAGAATGCGCCCCCACTCCTTCCGTGAGCTGCAAAGCATTACACGTGCATGCAAGTCACAGGGTTCTTCTCCCCCTTGAATCCCCTATATAAAAACCTAAACCCTAAACCTTGAACCCTGAACCCTGAACCCTAAACCCTAAACCCTAAACTGGCAGCAAAGTCATGTACTGGCTCTGCCCAGCCATGCTTCGATGAAGTGCCTGTACATTCATGCTGCAAATGTGGCCAAGCGCAGGAACTCCTGGCAGAAAGCCACATGCTCAACAAAGAGAGGCCGGAGGGTGTTCTTGCTTTGCCATGGCCGGTGACGGGTTCGTCTTCACTAGGGCTTATGATGCTACTCGTGGCCGATTATATCAGCACGTAGCACCTCAACATGGACAGCCAGACAAGCAGGCAGGCTTTCACTCCCACTTTCACTCTCAGTCAGTCTCATTGTGTTTTTCTTTCACTCTCTCTCGCTCTCTCTCTCTCTGGCTCTCTCTCTCTCTCTCTCTCTTTGCGTTTCCTTCTCCTACTTGCACTCCCACTGAGGGGCGCGCACTCTCTCTTTCTCTTCCTCTTTCTCTTTATCTTTATGTTTCGCTTTCTCTCTCTTTCTCTCTCTTACACTCACTCCCACTCTTACTCAAACTCTCTCTGCCTCTCTCTGCCTGTCTCTCTCGTCAGGTACTATCTGCTCGTCGAAGACCTTTTCAGAAACCTTCAGTCGGACGAAAGTGGCAAGGCACGTGCCTGTTTGATAAACCAAATCGCGCGTAAACCGAATTCCTATTCATGCATCGACTTGGACCTATGTATAAACCTTAGTTCTACGACTTGCTTCAGAAGCCCCAAGAAAACACTGCCTATATTACCCTTATAAGGAAGCATATCTTGCATTTCTTTGAGGGTTCTTACGCGAAGAGTAGAGTTACCTAAACTCGAAACGCCCCCCAGACCCTAAACCCTAAACCCTAACCCTAAACCCTAAACCCTAAACCCTAAACCCTAAACCCTAAACCCTAAACCCTAAACCCTGTGCCAGGTAACGCTGGAAGATTTCCAGGATCACTTCAACGACGTGGAAGTGCGAGCTGCTCCCTCGGCACACAGGAACCTTTCTTTAGGGTTTAGGGTTTAGGGTTTGGGGTTTAGGGTTTAGGGTTTAGGGTTTAGGGTTGTTTAGGGTTTCGGGGTGTTTAGGGTTTAGGGTTTAGGGTTTGGGGGGGGGGGGGGGGGGGTGGGGAGCCTTTTGACTGGGTCTTGGAGTACTATACTTTAATACTTTTTGTTGGTTCCGGGTTCCTATTCTAGCTACTTATACCTAAAGAAGTATATACTCTTTTTGGTTCTGGGTTCCTATTTTAGCTACTTATACCTAAAGAAGTATAGATTTTTTCCAGGGTCTACTCCAAAGCTAAGTGGAGAAGCCGAAGCCCTGGCTCTAAACCGGCCACCTAAACTTGAAACACCAAAAGGAAGCCCAAAGAAGCCTCAGCCCCCAAAAAGCACCTAAACCTGAAACACCAAAACAAAGAAGCCTAAGCAAACCTAAAACACATAACCCTGAAACACCAAAAAAAAGAAACCTAAAGCAAACCTAAGGCCCCAAAAAAGCTTAAACCCTAAACCCTAAACCCTAAACCCTAAACCCTAAACCCTAAGTAAGCCTAAGTCAGGCCCCCAAACAAAGCTTAAGTTGGCTCTTTGAGCTCGCGCCTTGCAAGGGGAACACCTGACCACTGTGGGGCGGGCGCATTTGGGGGACTCAAGGCTATTTTTTCAATGGCTTCCCTAAACCCTAAACCCTAAACCCTAAACCCTAAACCCTAAACCCTAAACCCTAAACCCTAAACCCTAAACCGACAGTCAGGTGGCGCTTCCCTAGTGAAAGCCACTTCTAAGAACTTACGAAGGCCCCCTAAAAACCAGGCCTGGCGCACCCCACAGCATTGCATCCATGTTTTTGAGGGTTTTGAGGGTTTTGAGGGTTTTGAGGGTTTTCAGGGTTTTGAGGGTTTTGAGGGTTTTGAGGGGCTGAGGGCTTAGTTTGGGGCTTGAATTTAGGTCCGGGACTCATATGGGGCATTTGTCGAAGATAGGGGAACCTGTGCGAACCCCCCCAAAACAGTAAACCCCCTATTGCACAAGAACCGAAGGAGGGGGGGGGGGGACCCCTATTCTCGCAAACCCCTCCCTGAACCCTAAACCCTAAACCCTAAACCCCTATGCATCTAGGCCTTCTTCCATGGCCTTGACCTCGAACCAAGCGATGCCTGGGTGTTGCGATTTGGCTGCAGTTGTCACCTCCCTCCCCTGGACCGCTTAGGACCGAGGACCAAGAGCTATTCGGGCTTAGGTTGCCTTCTACGCCCCTCTAAACCAAAGTTAAGAAGGGCACCCTTTCTTATTCCCAGGTTACTCTTGGGTATAAGGACTTAGGGTGCAGGGTGTTGGGTTCGCCCCACCCCACACACACACACAAGTCGGCGGATGGAAAGTTCCCGGCGTCGTTCGTAATCAAGTAGAACCTCCCTGACAACAAAAACCAAAGCCAGCTTCGAAATTCATCATCAAAGGGCATGGATAAGACTCTGCACACAGCCCTGTGCGCTACACGAAAGATGCGGGAGGTACCCGCACTTTACCTGCTCAAGCTCTGCCGTCCGATGTAAGCAGCCAAGGGCATCGCAAGTTAGGACACTGTTGGCAAACGTATTCGAGCTTCGTGGAGCCCCTTCCCAGAGGAAAGTGCTCATTAAACCCTAAAGACCCTTACACACCCAACAGACCTTTAAGTTCCGAAGGAGAGCATTTCTCTACCAAGAAAAATGTCACTGTGCACTGTAGAAGCCCAGGTTCTCACTCCTAGACGACGACGGCAGTGGAGACATCGATGCTGAGGAGACCACTTTGCCTAAACCCTATAAACCCCAAACCCTAAACCCTAGGGCACCATGCCCTCAACATGCCGTTGCGATTGCCATGAGGATAGCAAACCCTGAACCATACACACGCCCCTGAACTTTTTTACACACCCTTACAAAACAAAGCCTGATGAGCTTCTTTAACATGGCCCCCACTCAAACACACACACACTTTTTGTACACCCTTTGCCTAGCCCTAAACCCTATGTACACCCTAAGTCCGAAACCCAAAACCCTAAACTCAGGGCCAAGCCCCCGCCCCCCCCCCCCCCCCCCCTGTTCCTGGGCATTTTGGGGGGGGGGGGCCTAGCCTTGGGCCACGGCCCCTGCCCCCCTAGCCAGCCCACCTGGCCCTGGCCTGACCCCTTGTTTCTTTTTGACCCTTGCTCTGACCCAGGCTTCCTCTGGCCCCTTGGCCTCCTGACCCCCTGCTTTCCTTCTCTCCTGACCTGACTTTAGGCCTAAACCCTAAAAAGAATAGGTTTGGGTGGCTTTACCGCCTTGGACGGCGTGGGGTGGGAGAAAAGTGTTAGATGGCCCTCCACAATCGGGCCAAAGCTGCTCTTCGCACCTCACGAAGCTTTCGAGCTTGTTCCGAAACCTAACATTCACAGCACCTACGCCCTATCACAGCTAAACCCTAAACCCTAAACCCTAAACCCTAAACCCTAAACCCTAAACCCTAAACCCTAAACCCTAAACCCTAAACCCTAAACCCTAAACCCTAAACCCTAAACCCTAAACCCTAAACCCTAAACCCTAAACCGTGACCACCTGGAGGAGTTTGTAGAAGGACTTCTCAGACTCAAGGGCCCTGCTAGAGCCATCGATCTGGCTGCAATTGGACGCCCCCTGGATGCAGCGGATCTTAGGGTGTAGGGGTTTAGGGTTCAGGTTTTAGGGTTCAGGTTTTGGGGATACGGGTGTCAGGGTTAGGGGTTCAGGGTTTAGGGTTTTTGGGGTTTGGGGGTTAGGGACTTAGGTCTTTCCTGTCTTAGAGCCCTCAACCCGCAAGCCTGCAATCACTAAAGACCCGAAGCTAGCCGAGCTTGTTTCTTTGAAATAGTCATAGGGTTGAGGGTTTAGGGTTTCGGGCCTTAGGGTTTTGGTAAAAGGGTGTATGGCTTTAGGGCTGTCGGATTTGGGAGGTCAGGCCCTCGAAAGGGAAATTCGATCATCGGAACCTAATACCCGAAAACACAAGACCCTGAACCCTAAACCCCGAAACCGAAACCACTAAACCCTAAACCCCAAACCCTAAACCACTAAACCCTAAGCACCAGCCAAGGAGACTGCAAGTCGTGCGTGAGGAGAGTGCAGCAGACGGGCAAGCAAATGAAGCGCTTGGAGGACACTGCTTGGGGGCCTGAAAGGAGTCGGGGAGTTCGGTGCCTGTATCCCCTGTTTGACCTTGAATCTGAAAGTATTTTGGTGAACCTAATTTTTCCATCATCCTGAAAAGAGAGCCCATAAGGAAAGGGGGAGGGGGGGGGGGGCCGAATTGCGAGTCGGAATTCCGAGCACCGTATGCAGTGTGGGAAGCCGCCAGTCTACAGAAGTGTGGAGACCCCAGAAGTTGAGCCCGAAGCCGCGAACCATGAGCAGCTCAAAGTGACTTGTTATGCATCTTTGCGATTGTTTTAGGGTTTAGGGTTGAGGGTTTAGGGTTTAGTCTTTAGGGTTTCGGGTTTTTTGTGGGGCAACCTTCTCAGCTGGTTGCGGGCCGTCTTCACCCGAAGCGTTCGTACCGCCGTGTTGATTTCAATCGCAAGTCCATCCCACTTCAATCACACGTTGCAAGGGATCAGGGAGTCAACGCCGGGAGTGGTAAATACATCAGAGCCAGGTCCAAGCAAAGCATTGCAAGGCATTGTAAGCGGTGCGTGAACTGCTCCCAGGAGCTACAGTGATTTTGCCGTTGGGGGTTATGATCGGTCACTGTGTGCCCATGCTTGCTTGAGTGGGGAGGGGGCGTGGTGAGGGAGGGGGGGCGGCGGGTGACTGCGCGGACTTGAAATGATCTCGCATGTCAGACGAAGCTTCCTTCAATGCATGTCCGTACAGTGCGCATAAGGAAGATCGTGAGCCCACGAACAAAAAGGCAAGTGTGACTCCGGAGCGTCCCGTCCCCATACCTCCTATGGGAGGGCATGAGCGCATGCCTCTGGCTCTAAGGGAGCTTCCATCGCGAAAACTTGTGAAGCACATGAGGCAGGGTTTGGCGCGGAAGGAGAAGGTTGAAAGCCTAATTTCAAGACGGCCAGCGCAAGCTCGCTGGCCCTCCAGGCAGTGATACCATGGTGTAGGAAGTTCACAGCAGCGCTTCTGGCTGCTGGAAACATGAGAGACATGTGTGTTCCGTTCAGGGTATCTGCTGTTTACAACTGCTTAGGAGCCCAATAGGTGAACTTTAAACTTGTTGGGTATACTAAACCCCTACCAAAAGAAAAGATTAAACGTTTTTTGGGCCAAGGTATTGGGCAACTAAGACTGGGACCATGCTCGGGTTTAGGGTTTAGGGTTTAGGGTCATGGACTTTGACAGCAGCAGATGAGCAAGAGCGTTCTGTTTTCCACAGTGGGTGTTGCCGAAACATTGTAGAGGGCAAAGCTGTTGTGGCACATATGCCTTCATGCGTTTCAGACTGTACGGCATCAAAGCTCGCAGCAAACCTACATTCTAGGTAAGGATCTTGGGACATGTTCAATATTTTCCCCTTACTGGTTTAAGAGGATCATTTGCAGGAATCTGTTTAAGAGGGTATTCATGGGCATCCATAGTCAAGGGTTTTAGGGGTTTAGGGGTTTAGGGGTTTAGGGGTTTAGGGGTTTAGGGGTTTAGGGTTTAGGGGTGTAGGGGTTTAGGGTTTAGGGTTTAGAGTTTTGGGTTTAGGTTTTAGGGTTGAGGGTTTAGGCGGCTGCAAAACCTTCCACACAGCCGCAGGGCCTTCTTGCCAGTCTGATCCGGATCTACACTGGCGGACAGGACTTGTCCTGGGTTGGTTGAGTACTATACTTTAATACTTGTTTTGGTTCTGGGTTCCTGTTGTAGCTACCTATGCCTCAAAAAGTAATATACCTTTCTTCCAGGGTCTACTCCAAAGCAGGGTGTCTGCATCTGCACGTGTCCAGTGGTCCATGTACCTAAACTTGACAGCCCAGAGGCACCCTTTTCCTTTGTTTTTGGTTCAAGGCAAGAGGGTGCCCTTATTGACATTTGGGTACTGGGCTACCAAGCGAGCAAGACATACTGGGGCCCAGGTGTATACAGATTTGGTCTATTTCCACATCGCAGACTCGAATTCTGAAGCCCTTGTGCTCTGAATTGCATGTTTCCCTAAACCCGAACCCTAAACCCTAAACCCTAAACCCTGAACCCTGAACCCTGAACCTTAAACCCTTGCAGCTTTCCCTAAACCCAGCAATACCCTGAACCTCAACGCGAAGTTCCTATTTTTCTGTTGGGTCAGTAGCCGGTGACCCAAGTGGCAGCCCTAAACACTGAATCCTAAACCCTAAACCCTAAACCCTAAACCCTAAACCGTAAACCCTAAACCCTAAACCCTAAACCCTAAACCCTAAACCCTAAACCCTAAACCCTAAACCCTAAACCCTAAACCCTAAACCCTAAACCCGAGCCCTCATCGCGCAGGTCGCCGACGGAGCACCTGGGGTGGTGAGCTTGGCGCCGCTGCTTAGAAAAGTTACGGACTCCGAGAATCTCTGAGACGAGTGCAACCCTAAACCCTAAACCCTAAACCCTAAACCCTAAACCCTAAACCCTAAACCCCAAACCCTAAACCCTAAACCCTAGACCCAAAACAGCTTTACGGCTCAGGGTTCTTAAGGGGCGCAAGTTGGGCCTTACAGCTCCTCTTCATTGAGATCATGCCCAAGGATGTTTCGGATGCCCCCTACCTCCCTCTTTTGGAGCTTTTCAACCTGTGGTCTTATGGTTTGCTGCGCCCTTTTTCCCGCCCTTTGCGATTCGATGTCTTTTCACACCCGGTGAATACATCTTGTAACCTAAGCCGCGATGTTCAAAATGCATTGTGATGAGATGAGTTCGTATGAATAGGACTTAGTGACAAGTACTTACGATCCCAGTAACTGAAAGACAAGATCTTAACATACATCATGGACCATGGCAAGACGCAGGGCGGCATGAAGGGCGCATGTGGAGAGCCCGGAGCACGGGACGCCATCACAAGAACGTGTGGGCGTTCGCATGCCCGAGACCTGTCGAGATCCATTTTAAACCCTGTGTTGACTCCGCCACGAAAGCCGGGCTGGGCCGGTTTTTTGGGATTTCATGATGGGTTTCCGTACTACCCCCTCTGTACTACCCCCACCCCCCCCAGGTTGCCTCCTTAAATAACCTCAATGAGGCTTACTTGTCCCAAAACTAGCTTTGACTATGGGGGGAACCTAGGGGGCGGGGGGGAGTATATAGGGGAACCCATGGCTTTAGGATTTGGTGATTAAGGTTCAGGGTGAGCTTGTTGTTGGAGCGCCGTCCGGAAGCTTCTGCAGTGGCACGAGGACGTGGCATGCTCGCAGCTGTGCTGTCCATGCCATGATGCTTGCCATTTGGGGGGTTTACGATAATGGGGGTCCCCTTTCGGGGGGTCCCCTTAAGGGGACTCTAATCGATTTGGCGTATAGAAGGGGTACCCCTATTTTGGCAAATACCAATTTCTTTGTATAAGGACTTCTGCAAAGCAGGCTTTGTTTTATCTCTGGCGCGCAGCAGCCCTTTTCAAGTCTTCAAGGGTCTGGCTCCCGAATTCTCGACAACGGCCCACCTTAGATCGGAAAGGGTTCGTAGGGACGTAGTAGGGACTTTGTTTGGAATAGGACCGAGGACTTACCACACCCTTGACCTCTCGCCGTGTCCGCACGAGGATGCAACTCTATGCCCACTGGGCCTCAGAGGCCCGCTTGCTGTGTCACCACCTGTGCCAGCGCAGTGAAAAAATTGTCTTTCCTCTTTCTCCCAGCAAAGGACTCGAATCCGTGCATTCCGGCACCCCCATCAATAAGGATACCAATTTTCTTGGAAACCCCGGAAGCCTCCCAAAATCAAGGGGTGCTGAGTTCCTGAAGACCTCTGAAGCACCCGCGGCCAACTTAAACCCCAAAAGCCTCAACCCTAACCCTAACCCCAAAAAACCCAAAGCTCGGGGCCATCCAACCCTGCACCCTAAGCCCTAAAACCCCTAAACCCCCGCAGCGAGCCCGTTTTCCGGAACCACACTCGCTCCGAAGATGCCAGGCGTTTGCCCGCTTGGCTGTGAGAACCCATGCCCCTCCTTGGGGCTAAGGGTTGAGGGTTTAGGATTTTTAGGTTTAGGGTTTAGGGCTTAGGATTTAGGGTTTAGGTTTAGGGTTTAGGGGGTTGAACGTTTTGAGGGTTTAAGGGCTTAAGGGTTTAGGGGTGTCAGGACTTAAGGGTTTAGGGGCTGCAGGATTTCAGGGTTTAAGGGTTAAGTGAGAGAGGGCTTAGGGTTTCTGAGTTTTGACAACATCCCTCTCGCAAGGGCTTTGCGGCGAGAAGCTTCGACCGCAGGCCGGATGATTGTCTGTGACATTTTGGGACTTCATGTTTCTATTCATGCAGGATCTTGTACTTATAGTATTTGCGGTAAGTCAGATTTAAATGTCCTACCCGCATTACGACGCCTGATGACCGTTCCCAAACTAGGTCTCCTGGAGCAGCAGTTCTAGAGAACATGATTCTACGGTTTAGGGTTAGGGTTTAGGGTTTAGGGTCAGGCTGATAGGATGACAGAGGCTTGCTCGACCGCTGATCTAATGTTCACCAGAACCTGCAACCGAAGATCACAACAAAACCGTATGCGCCCTGAGCCCAGCGAATGTGGTTGCCGCTTTGACGTTGAGTTGCCGACCAGATCTCCCACACGCCAGGACCGGATCGAAAACTTCGCCATTCAGATCAAGGACTGGCCAACTTATAATTGTGAATTGCAGCACGCGGCAGTGCCACTGAAAGGACTTGTCTCACAAGGGTCCTCCACCTCTTCTTTGGACACCTTGTGTGCGCAGACCATGGCAAAGTGGGCAGGTAGCGCACGCATCTTTGTAGAGCTTGTGATTTATATAGGGCCGCCCTCCCCTCACTTGCTGAGGAGTCAGCGCCGGAATCGGCAGGAAAGGCGACGTAGGCGTGGCTTCCTGCTCACCTTAAGCGGCTCTAAGCCGTTTATCAAGCCTACTTGGAGGTTCATGCTGGGAATGGTTTTGAGGTACGACTGGGGGCCTTGCAACCCTTCGTAAACATATCCATGAAGCTTCAAGCAGGGTAAACAAAACCCTTAACCCTAAGCCCTAAGCCGAAACCCTAGCAGCTAGGCCCTAGAGCCGGCACTCAAACGCGCGTTGCTCGCGTCCGCAGCAACAGCCCGTCCTAAACCTCCCGAAGCTCTAACAAAAACAAGCAACAAAGAGGTCGCCCAGAATTGCCCTTGTTTCCCGTTTAGGGGTGAGGTTCCCGCATCAACCTCCATGAAGCAAACAAGGAAACAGACGGCGGGCGAGAGTTTGGGGATTCGTTCGGAGCGCTGTCTTTCCCCTAAACCCTAAACCCTGAACCCTGAACCCTGAACCCTGAACCCTGAACCCTGAACCCTGAACCCTGACTGTCTCAGATCTGCCCACTGCCGATGCCAGGTCATCCTCATCCACCAGATCTTCCAGGTCACACAGGCCTGCTACGGGTTTAGGGTTTAGGGTTCAGGGTTCAGGGTTTAGTAATTTAGGGTTTAGGGTTTAGGGTGTAGGGTTTAATCCCTAAGCCCTGAACCCTAAACCCTAAGCCCTGAACCCTAAACCTTGGCAGAGGGGAATCGGAGGACTCGCGAGAGTAGGTTGTGGCCCGCACTCTGGGTTAGGCTGCCCTGTTTTCATCAATCAGCGGAAGCCTTTTTTTTTTGGTGTAAGCCCTCAACCCTAAACCCTAAACCCCAAACCCCAAACCCTAAACCTAAACCCCTAGGCCCGAAAGCCGAAGTAAGCTTTTTAATGGCTCGAAGCACGAGCATGCTCACGTGAGCCAGGCGACCGCGATCGAGGTCCCGCTCCAGGTTGGCACAGCTGTGGAGTTGTGAACCCTGAGCCCTGAACGCTCAACCCTAATCCCGAAGCCCTAACCCGGGGGCAGGGTCGAGAAACATCAGGTCAAGAGTCGAGAAAACATCCATGTTAAGACTTCAGTGCACATCCCTCCCCAGTTTTGGGTCGCCCCCCAGGCGGCTTGCTGTGCATTTTGGGCCCCCCCCACAAAATGCATTTGTTTTTTTTGTTGGTCCCTGGCAAAACGCGTTACATGTGCGATGCTGCGTGCCTGGCGGGGGCAGCCCACAATGCATTCTTCAGCCGCTGTAAAATGCACGGGGCCGACCCGGATACGCAGGAGGCGAAGCAGCGCTGTCCCCGGAGGGTCTTCGTGCATTGTTCAGTCGCCGTAAAATGCATCAGGCCTTTGCCCGAACTGTTTCGAGAAGAAGAGCTATATGAAGGACACTGAAAGGTAGCGTTACAGATCGATGCAATTCATGAGAGATTGTTTTGTGGTGCAGATTGGGGCTCTCGTAAAACAGGCCCCGAGCAAAACGCGTCACATGTGTGATGCTCTGTAACCGAGAACAGTTGCAAAATTGAAACAATAAATTGAATTTTCAATTCATATTTACATAGAAGCCAACGTAAATATTCCAAATTTATAGTAGAGGAGAAAAGTCTGACTAGAACATTTATAAAAATGAATCCGGGGGTACATGATGTGATAAATGTTCGTTGACTTGTTTTGAGTTGTCAGGAGTACGAAAGACTGTCCTAAAAGCACTAGACTCCAACCATTAGAACGGTCTACAAAACCAAAAACACCCTAAACGCCCTATACACCCTCAACACCCTAAACACCCTAAACACCCTAAACACCCTAAACACCCTAAACACCCTACACACCCTACACACCCTACACACCCTAAACCCTAAAGACCCACGCATTGGTTACTAAACCTAAAGAAAAGCACTAAATAACAAGATAAGTTAAATATTTAAGAGACCAAGTCCAAAAAATGAGTATAAAACCAAAGCTGAACAAGAAACCCAACGGGTATGTCAATATAGAAACACCACAAGCAACCACCTAATAGCCCAGAGAACAATTTTCCAGAAACACATACATCGATACGAAACCCACAAAAACAACACGAACAAAAATATAAGAAACCATTACAAAAAAACAAGTTCCAAACATTGAGATGCAAAACACCAAAAAAAACAGGGCGCACACTGAAGTCTTAACACGGCGTTTTTTTCGACACGCGGCGTGTCGAAAGAAGCGCCGCGTTCAGACTTGAGTGGCGCGGACTGGACAGAGAACTCTTCAGAACCCCCCCCCAACGATGCGCACTCAAGTCTTAACATGATGTTTACTCGACCCGTCTACCCCTAAACCCGAAACCCTAAACTCTAAACCCTAAACCCGAATCCTAAGCCCTAAACCCTTCTCCGTAGCCACGATGTTGATGAAAAGTTCCTGGAGAGCAAAAAGATGTTGGATTCGGTCCCATCTGGGCTTAGCTTGGCTTGAGGTGCATTCCTTTGGCAGGCGTAGTGCTTAGCGTTTAGGGCTGAGGGCTGAGGGCTTAGGGTTTTCGGCTTAGGGTTTAGGGTTTAGGGTTTATAAGGGCTTCAAGGGAT